CTCGAGGGTCCCGCTCCTGAAGCGAGGGGACCGAATCCAGCTCGAGGATGGATCGCACCACATTTATGGTGGTAGCCATCCACCGGGGTGGCTTCGCGATGACCCCGAGCTGGATCCCGCTCCAGAGAGTAGCGGTGGAGGGTCCACGCCCAAGAGCGAGCCCACGGAGGAGGCCGATCCCGGACCTCCGCGGGAGGCCGCTCCGCGCGGGCGGGCGCCGAAGAGCGACGTTCAGCGACGCCTGGCAGAGCGTCGTTCCAAGCGGGATTACTCGCCGGACCTGGTGACGCCTCTTGACGATCTCCATGCCCAGGAGATCGACTCCTTCTTCGCGGGCGACCCAGCCGCGGATAGCCTTGACGTCATTTTGACGCGCGCCGAGGTTCGCACTGAGTCCCACCTCAACGTCGGCCGGGAGCGAGAAGAGCCCCTGGTCAAGGAGGAACAGGAGGAGGAGGCTGAGGTCGTCAAGGACGAGGAGGTCTCGGTTGAGATGGAGGCAGCCACCGCGGATGAGGCGGACGAGGTCGCCCTCCCAGCCAACCGAGCCTACGTCGAAGGCCGCTTTTACCCCTACGGCAGCTGGCGGTGCTTCTTCTGCGAAGCCATCAACCCGGTTACCGAGGACCAGTGCCTCACGACGCACGCGGGCGGCCCGAAAGCGGGCGCCCCGTGCGACGGCCGATGGATCAACGGGATCGACATCGGGTGGTGGGAGGTCGACCCACAAACCGCGCCAGAGCAGTGGAGGCGGAGGTTTTCTGCCGAAGAGCTTGAAGAACAACAAGCGCGGGCAGATGCCGCGAGGCTCCTCAGCGATGAGGAACTCGCTGAAGCCCTCCAGGCGGCCGAGGAGGCGCAGGCGGCCGAGCGCGCCAAGAAGCGAGAGCGGCGCCAGGCGGAGAAGGCGGAGCGCGATGATCACATCAGCGAAGCGCTCCGCATTGCAGGGTGGCAGTGCCCTAACTGCTATGAATGGAACCTTTCATTCAGGCAGTTGTGCTTTCGCTGCAGCACCCCTCTCCGTTTGGCAGAGGTCGTCTCTCGCGGGATCCCTGATCCGCGGCGCGGCGAGGAGAGGAACTCCGGCTCCGAAAGCAGCCAGGACGAGCTGGAGCACGAGATCCTTCTGGCCAATCGTGCGATGGACGAAGAAACCATCCAACCCCTTCTTAGAAACAAACACAAGAAGAGGGGTGGTAAGCGACGTCGCGAAGACGCGACGTACGGCAAGGGCCGCGACCCTTGGAGTGCTTGGGCAGACGCCCGTGGCAAGGGCCAGGGCAAGCCGAAGGGCAGAGGCAAGTCCGATGCCAAGGGCAAGCCCAAAGGGAGGGGCAGGTACGCCTGGGGCGCTTACGCCGCGGGCATAGTTGCCGCGCTCCAGCCCCGCCCAAGCACAAGCTGGGTCCCAGCCTTCCCGTGCGGGTCGGCCCGGCCGCCGCCGAGTGTTCCGCTTCCGCCGCGGACCCCCTTTTTCCTGGGTCGCGGGCTCCTCAATCGGTTGATGCACGCCCTCAACGGGAACATCAACGGCTGGTGGGGCCTGGCGGCTGCAGCGTCGGCGCCGATTGCCTTGCAGTTGCACCGCGGGGCTGTGCATGTTGTCGAGGACTCAATGCACGCGGTTGCAACAATTTCGGCCGACGTGGTCGAGGAAATCGGTCACGGGGCGAGGCGGACCGTGTGGGTCGCCGGAACAGCCATCACTCTGGTGGTAGTGATCTTGTGCAGCGCTGTTCTGTGGTACGTGAGTCGTGCCGTTGCCAATCGCATTGCGCATCTGCGATATGGCAACACCGCGGCCCCTGAGGCGCGGCTGTCTCAACTCCTTGGCTCTGAAGCGACGTTTGAGGTCGCGAGCACCAAGAAAGGGGTGACCCATAAGGTTTGGGTGCACCTCAAGGAGGAGACAGCTGCCTGTGGCTGCCGTGCTTACCTGGCAGAGGGACGTTGCGGGCATTGCGATGCCGCAATGGACACCGCTCGATCCCTAGGGTTTTTGCACGCGGCCCAGCGAGGCGCGGGTCCTGCGCTCACAGACTCCATTCGGAGTACCGCCTCCGAAGCCCTAGCTAAGGGTAAGGTGGTGTTGGGTTTGGGAAACAGTGAAGGATGTTTCTCCCAACTTGCGGCCAAGAGCCGCGGGCTCTCCTGCTTTCAGGGGCTCGCGGGTCGTGACCTGGCCGCGGCCCCAGCAGATGGAGCGAGCGCAGCCCACGCACAGTCCGGCTCCGTGCAACGTGCCGCCACTGCCACTGTGGCGCGCACACCCAGCCGGAGGAACAAGGGCCCAGTTCCCGCTAGGAGTTCTCCAGTCAAAGAGGTGGAATTCCTTGCGGGCGGGCCATACGTTCAGGCCGCCCAAACGCTGCTAGGGTCTGGAGCAGCAGAGGATGTGATCTACATCCGGGCGTACAGCCTAGATTGCCCATCCTGCATCGAGGCAATCGAAGCGTCGCTCAGCAAGGGCGCAGGCGTTCGGATTGTCGCCGACATGGGACAATGCCACCGCACGAAACTGCAGTGGCAAGCGTTGAAACGCTTGGCGGCTGCAGGCGCCGAGGTGAAGGTGGGTTGCGGCACATCCGTGCGCGACGCCTATGCTCGCGACGGCCGCGGGGCTAAAGTAGGCACCGGGATCCAAGGGCTTCACCATGCCAAGGCCCTTTGCCTACTGCGGCCTGATGGCGCGGTGGTGCTGATTGGGAGCCTCAATTTTACCACAAGCAGCAAGGCCAATGCGGAGGCAGGGCTCAGGCTTGAGGTCCCCAAGACGCACTCAGTCGTGCAGTCCTACATCGAGGATTTCCAGAGGGTGTCGGCTGAGGCATTCTCCCTCGATGAGGCGGTCGCAAAGCGCCCTCAGTTGGAGCGAGCCAGTAGCTCCAACGTTGCTGGCATCGCCGCTCGTGCCCCTAACACTGCTCCACAGGGTATCGAGTAGGCTGCGGCCAGTCGGCGCGGCGTGGAATGGTTTCCACGCGATTTCTTAGGCATCACAGCGCGGCACGCTGTCGAGCCTCTTTTGATTGTGTTTTGCTTGCGGGCGAAGAGCCGCGGCAGGGGTTTTCCCTGCCCATTTTGCCTACCCCGCACTTTTCTTCTCAGCCCGACGCGGCTGCTGCGGACCGTGTCCTGGTCGCGGCAGTGCGCTCGCCGAAGCGCGTGCGAGCTGCACTGCCTGCGGCACAAGCTATGTGCGCGGCTCTCGCTGAGTCCGGTAGCCCGTAGGGTAGTTCTGGATAGGTGAGTAGCCATAGCCGTAGCTTAGGGCCGGTAGTGTGTACAGTGTACCATTTGTACCATAGTCTGCGTACTGGCAGCTAGAGACCAGCTCGAGGATTCAAGAGCCTCGCCCACCAGCAAAAGGGTGAGGACCTCCTGGGAAAGGGTTGTTAAGGGCTGCTGAGGGTTGCTGTCGTCGTGCGTTCGTTTTGGTGGTGCGGGCTGGCGTCCCTGCCGCATGCCAATGCTCATGATGTGCGGACCACCGCGGTCGCACGCGACACCCTCTCCCTTCCCTTTCTGTGTTCAGCGTGAGTGCCTGCTGCACTCAGAGCTCGAGATGAGCTGGAAGCCTCGGCTGAGGGGCGAATGTGAGCAGGTCTAAGCACGCACGTTGCATGTGCAGAGCTGCCAGCACCAGTACTGTAGTTTTCCTTGCATGTGTAGTTTTGCAATTCGTAACAATGCCAATGTTTTGGCTCAAGTACCGAGCTTGTGCCTTTGAGCACGGTAGAGTCGTACAGTAGCTCTTAGGTTGCTGTGCGGTCCGACCGGACGCACTCAGGCGTAGCTGCACAAGTGCTTGAACTCGCGAAGTCGTAAAACAGCGTGACCGGGCTGTGATTGCATTGGCTTAGTGCAAGTCCAGTGCTGGTCGACTTCACAATATACATATATACATATATACATATATACATATATACATATATACATATATACATATATACATATATACATATATACATATATACATATATACATATACATATACATATGCATATACATATACAAATACATCTACATATACATGTACATATACATATACATATTATACATATGTATAAACATACCCGGGCCGCTTATTGTTTTTTAGAAGACACCACAAGAATCATTCATGGTTTCGGGTTGAAGGCGAGAAGCACCGACAATCCGAAACTCTACTTTGCCAGGTTGCTATACATCGGGGGGATCATCCCAGGTGGGCCCATGCCAGGCGGAGGCATGGTGTACATGGCCGGTACACCTGGGCAGCGTTTAAGCTGTTGCAAAACCCTCCAGGCATGATCCGGAAGTTTGAAAATCCATGTAGAGCCTCCGTCCGCTGTTCCACCCCAAACTCATCCCAACTCTAACTAACCGAGGTCGAGCCGGAAACCCTAAAAAAAGCCAAGCAACAAGAGCATGTCGAATGTGAGTTAGGGGGTGTGGTGCTCAGTCAGTCGTAAAACCGATTTGGGCCGGCTCGCTTCGCACTACCCCACAAACACAGTCGCTGTTGCGTCCAAAAAGAAGAAGACCGATTTTCGTCTGTAATCGATTTTGGCCCCCTGCTCAAGTCCTCACTATCCATGGCATCCCGCCGCCAAAGCTCAAACTTTGCATGGTCCCCCCGCAGGCGGGCGAGGTTCCCCTGTCCCAGGTAAAGCGTCCGCAGCTTCCCCCCTCCTCGTGGGGCCTGCCCGTCGAAAACAAAAAACTGCACAAGCAGAGAAAACACACTTTCCCCGTCGGGGCCTGCCCGTCGTCGAAACAGAAAAGTACGCCCATAGTTTCCGCTAAAACAGCGTTTTCCCTTCGTGGGTGCCAGCCGCCAATCATAGCACCCGCAGGGTGCCGCCGTCCGCCTCGCAGCCCTCTCTTGGCGCCCGAAACGAGAACCCAACCCCCAATGGTTTTGGGAAGGAACGGCTCAAAAGGTCTTTCAACCATAGTGCCATTGCGAAGCGGCCAACTCTGTGAGTTGCTGTCACAAGCGTGAGCCCCTGCGCTTGTCACTTCTGGGAAGCGGGATGTATGCACGGTTTTACACACTGCGATACCAATACCTGAATCACTGAACAAGGTTGAATTGTTAAAACATTTAAAACCAAGTCTTGGCCTCCTGGTCCGGGCACATGAGGCAATCCATACCTTGGATCTTTTGCTGCAATCGAGTTGTCCAGTGGGCCCTTCTCACACCATCTCACAGCTATGACTAGCTATGAGAGCCCCCCCAAAGACTTCACCATGTGGCATTGGTGGCATCGGCATCCCAGGCGCTGGGCCGCTGCCCAGCACAGCCGCCATAGACCTCACGAGCCGCAAAAGCCCAAAAGTCTTTTCGAGTGCCGTGGCCGCGGTGCTCACAAAGCCCCTGGGTGCCAAGCAGGAACTTTTCGGACCGGTTCCGATGCTGCGACAGGTCCCAGCGAATAGCCACAGCCTCCAAGGGAGATTTTGGGCTACCTGGGCTACTAGGGCAGCTCTGAGGGCAACACTATGTTTCGGAATGTCCAAGGGGAAAGAGCACGTTCCAATGAAAGCCCAGGGCCCGGCCTGGTGCTGCGGAGGAAGGGCCCTCAAAGCTTTGGCCGCGCGGCTCTGGCGGGGGAGCGGTTCTCGAGATGCTTTGAAGTGCTACTCTGCCGCTTCTTCGCCTCTTTTCCATCTTTGACTCTCCTTTGGGGCTTGAAAAGGCTTCAGGGCGCACGCAAGGGCACATGAGCTGCATATGAAGTCGAAGTGGCTTATGGCTTCAGCTGGAATCGGTATTCAATCAAAAGCGCTGCTCAGCTTTGGCGTAGACTCGTAGACCAATTTCACAAGGCTGGCTGCGGTGCCCATCACGCTCATAAAGAACCTCCCGTCTTCTCAGGCCCTTAGTCCAGATATTTCGACCCCCCTGAACCTCACATCCTGAAGTCCTGAGTGCTGCCGTGTTTAAGGCGTTTACGGGCACAAGCGCAACCCTGGAGCGGTGCATTCCAGGGCACCCCGCGTCTAAGTGATTGTCCTGCAAGTGGCTCAGGTTTCGGAGCTCTTGATCTGAAGAGGCTTTAGGTCTTCATATAGTCTTGGCATGAGTACGTCTGAGCACTACTCGTTACCCATCTTCCTCAGCCCGAGGGAAGTCCGAGAGAGGTGCCCGCAGCCACACGATCGGTTGCTGAGGATGGCTCTGACATCTTAGTGTGAGGAATGACACTCCTATGAGCCACAGCACTCCTCGAGGATCTACTGCGACGAAAACCCAAACTCCCTTCTTTTAAAAACCTGTAACAGCCATAACGCTGCATGCTTGCGCGCAAGCACAAGGACCTCGATATACTTGGCAACAGCCTGTGCCGTCGCTTGAAGCCTGGGCGTTTTTTCTGAATGTTCTGCTTGCATCGGTTTCTTGGCACGGAGCTAAACGCTCACGACTTGGAGACCAACGTTTCCCGAGCCCCCAAGAGCCCGCACAACCTGCCGAAACCGAAGCCCAGTTCGCCCAATCGGCAGACCGCAAAGGCCCCAGAGGCTGTGGCATCGCTTCGCCCCAGAAGCCCAGCGATTCGGAGCCGCCTCACGGCAACCAAACGCCGTTGAAGATGGCACAGACTGATAGGGGCATGAACTGGGGGCAGTCGTGAGCGCAGAGAACCATAGAACATCATAGAACCTTGCAATTGACCAACTTCTGCGATCCTCAAGCTGAAAGGCATCTGATCGGCCCACACTTTTGAGATGGCTGCCCTATGCTGCCCTTGATACCTCCTTGTCTTCCTCCCGGTGCCTAAGGCCTCAGATGGAACTGTGTGTGGAAATGCAGCATTTCGTCGCCTGACTTGGACTTTTCATCTTGGTTCTGCAGCTCGCGCACACGTGCAATCATCACCTTCGACCTCAGCGGGGCTTCGGCCAGGTTGTGCTCATGTTTCTTCTTGCAACACTAGAACCTTCAAACAGAAAACAGCACTGGTACAACCGGTAAGCTAAGAGAACTGACGCAATGATTCAGAAAATGTGCTCATGTGCAAGTGCTTGCAGCTCTGACGTCCGAAACCTTTTTCGCAAAGCAGATCCGCTAGATCCTAGGCTGTAAGAGCCCTGACGGGTTCTGCACGTCCCCTGTGAGAGGGCGAGAAATGACCTTCCGCTGGCTCTCCGGGCCTCAGTAGGCTTCGAATGAGGCTTCTGTGTATTGGGAGGGAAAGCATCGCGCGATGTGTCTGCGTTGTCCCTGTGGGGGGGGGGGGGGGGGCTCTCATCATCGCACACCAGTCCTAACAGTCCCTAACACTCAACGCACCGCCTGCTCTTTAAAAACCTTTTTCACTCTCCTGGCGCACTCCCTTGGAAGCTGAGGTGCTCAGAGTGCGAATCTTGGTCGCCGCCTCTGCATTGATGTTGTTCTCATCGATGAACTGGTCCACCTGGAAGATTCGAGTTCCTCAAAGATATCCGACACATGGCTTACACATGGCCCACACACATGTTCTGACGCCGGTACAGCCGAGCCATACTCCGAAGCTCGGCAACCGGCAACCGGCAACCGGTGGTCTTCAAAGCGAACCCCTCAAGCACGTGCCTGGCTACGGTACCTCACTGTATCTGAGACCCCCGACTCGCAAACTCCTGAAGACCCTGAAAGATCTGCTGCGCACTGAACAGGCGCCTCCGGCAAGCGCACCAAGCTCCGAGAGCGTTCCCGCTCCTCCAAAGGTGTGAGTTGCGCAACCTGTAGAGCCAGGTTCAGCCGAATTCACACCTAGCAACCAAAGGGACAAAGACAATCTACTCAGCCGGCAGAAGCCAGTGCTCACAATCATAAGCCAGCGCCTACGAACCAACGAAGTATACCTCTACCTGGAAGCTATGGCACAAGAGGCCGTGCAAAAAAGCGTGGCCCAGCCGTCATTTCAGTCCTGCTCCCTTCGGCGGCGCCTGCAAAGCTCGGGCCAACTTATTGGGTCTGATTCGATTAAAGTTGCCGAAAAAAGCAAAGCGGCGCAAAAGCTTGACCCGAAAACTGCGCCAGCTCGCTCACGACTGAACATCGCTTAGCTGAGTGAGCTGCACCACCCTTTTTCCCGAAAACATCCCAGAACATCCCCGAACCGCAGGATCCTAAAGACAGAACCTGCAGGGAAAGCCAAATTGGGGATACACTCGGGAGGCCTGCTCCGATCACGTCGCGGCGACCTGCCGATTCTGCGTTGGATTTGGCAGTTGAGTTGGGCATTTAGCGATTCAGTGTATGGTTGGCTTGTTGGGCATGTCGAGCGCCGAATGAGGCTTTCGGAAGTCCCAAGTATCTCTGGGCATCAGCTCGCAACAAGGCTCAGGGCTTCGGCAACTGTTGGTCGTAAGCGAAGAGACCAGCAAGCCTCGAGAGTTGCCTAGACTACGGCCTCCGGCAAGTTGAAGTCTTGTCAGTATACGAGCGCCAAAGTTGAGACCCCGCTTTTTGCAGTTGCGCACAGCGCAGGCCTTGCCTGGAACGCCCCATCCCTGGGAAGGGAGTTGGCTTTGAGCAGTGTCGAGAGCTTGCTTTCGCTTTTGTTGTACGAGTAATCTTTGAATTGAATTGCAACTACGAGCATAACACCCTCTGTAAGTTTCTCAGAGAACCTCTCCTGGGCCCACGAAACCGCTGAGACAAGCTCTCTCGCTCTCTCTCTTCTCTCTGTTTCTTTTGGAGTTGCTTTCAGTTCAGAATTGGGGACGCTACTGGGACGCTGCTAAGAACCGGCTCAACATGGCTCAACCTCAGCACGCCGAGCCCGGGCCTCATGGAATGCCCAGCTACGCGAGAGAGAGCGCGCAGTTCTCGGAAGTTGAAGTTGCCAGTAGAAGCGTGTTTAAAAACATGTTAGTAGAAAGCAATTTAACTTAACACACCGTCTTACAACACCGCCTAAAAAACACTTCAAAGCCCTGTGTTGAGACCTCCGCCTCAAGCGCCGAGACCCAGTGCAGTGCTAACTCTATGTACGGTGCTGACGCTGGCCTCCTTGAACTTATGGCTTGTGCGGCTCTACCGACCGTGGTGGTGCCCTACGTGCACTAACCTGGAATCGTGTGGAGAAGCGTGTGTCTCACGTTGCGCTCCACACTCTTGAAGCTGGCAGCTGCAAGCACCACCATGCTGGACTGTTGACAAACATTCAAAGCTCAATGCTTCACCGCTTCACCTCAAGGCTTGCTCTGGCTCCGAGGGAGCTTTTGCCAACTGTGTAGATTTCTGTGTTCGGGAAGCTCAGGGAGATTCTAGGATGCAGCTTTTTTGGCGAAACATTTGTGCGCGCTCAGCTTGCCGGGTCCTGCGCGTTAGCTCAGAACTGTGCAAGTTGTGAGGCTGACGGCGCTGAGGATCCCACTACTTAGAGTCCCCAACCATGGACAATTCCAGGATGCGAGTTCAGGGTTTCAGGCCCCAATGCATTAAATTCTCGTCTTTGGGGCTCAACAGCCTCACATCAGCTTAAGCCCCTGAGCCCCAACGTCTGCAAAGCCCCATGGACCAACCCACACGGGCCTGCTTCGCACCTCACAGCTGGGGTGGGGTAAACATGGGTAAACATGAAACTCCTTGCACAAAGCCAGTGGAGAATTGGGGAGGAAATGCCACAGGGCCGAAGGCCAAAGCCTACAGTAGGCCTCCGCATCTACTAGTAGCCCTCGAGATCCAGTTCTAGACTTCAGCTGCATGGAGTAGATATGAGCAGATGGCAAGTGCAGAACAGCATCCAACTTGCGAACGAAGCCACAAAGGCTGTGGGCATTTGGCAAGAGGATTGCTCCCAGTGTGTCACAGGCCTGCGGCAACTCGCGAGAGTTGCTGGTGCACTGTCTGTGAGGCCCACGGCGCCGCCTGAATTTGATCCAGTCCCGGGTCTGCACATAAAGCTTATTCAGACGATGCTCATGCATGGAGGACTTTACCTGACCTTGCACTGTCGCTTGTGGGTAATGATGGGTCTTGGGTTGCAGCAACCGCGGTCTGCAGTAGTATGACTGGGGTGCACCAAGCATTTTCCTTGAGCCTATCGGTGCGTCATACTCAGCAATAGACGACAGCCAAACTCAGAATTTAGCCTTGGTTCGCACCGCGACCCTACTCTGCAGAGGCAGCTGCATCATGAGCGGAAGCCTGCGATAACTTGCCACTACGCAGCCTACCGACTCGACACTTCAAAGGATTGAGCCGCCTCGACTGGCGAATCTGCACCTTGCGAACATGGGGGGGACATTTGCAAACATCTGCAATCTAGGCTTGGACGCCGGGTTGGGTAAAGCCACAACATGCCGCCACTTCCTGGACGAGTGGACTCCACTCTGACTGCACAATACAATTGCATAGAACTGGTTGCGACAGTTCTATTTGTTGAGCGGTTCGTGTGATGGCGTGTAACAGCCCGAAAAGTGGAATAATGACAAAAGCAACTTCGAAGTGCAGCAGCTGCAGAAACATGAACATTGTCGTCAGCAGGAGCAGCAGGTCCGCTGCGGAGTCACAAACTGAAACAAACATGGATTCGAAAGCTGGGAAAACGTGATCGGGAAACCAAGAGCGCGACACCGCTTTCCAGCCAAGTTGCTTCAATGGGACATTCCTACAGCTGGAGTCACAAATCGGGCAGTTTCCTGAATCGAGCAGCTTCCTGAATCGCATGGTTTCCTGAATCGGTCAGCTTCCTTCAACCGCAAAGTTTCCGGAGTCGCGGCCAGCTTCCGAATCGCGGAACGTTCCAGCAGCGACGCTATGCAAAGGACAAAGGCTCGGAAGGCCAACTTCCTAGGCACCACATGGACAAGGCGAATCCAAAACCCTTGGATTCTTGGATTCGCCTTGTCCGGTCTGAGGCAACCTTAGCTTCTGAAATCATCTTTGACGATCTAATTGACACTTCTGTGAAACGAAAGCGAGGGCAGGTCCCTTGAAACGAGAACCCTTGACGAGATACAGCACGGTGAAGTCCGGACCGGTTGCAGCCCCAGCGGTTACAGCCCTAGGGAGAGTGAAGAGAATGACTCAAACTTGGGGGTGAGGGCCTGGGACGAAAGCTAGTTAAGGTACCCCCACGGAAGAGCTTCCGTCAACATGGCATCAACTACGCAGAAGGACAAGCACACGCAAAGGCAGCAGGTCGTGTCACCTTTTTCTGGCGCAGGTGCCAATATTGACGTGGCATTCCTTCTGGCAAAGTGTTGGTGCGTTGCTTTGCTCTGCGGTGTTTTAGCATCTTCCGGAGGGCTCTTTTTTGAAACGCATGACACCACAACAGATGTTGCACTCACAACGGGAACCTGTCCAATCCAGACGCCGGACTCAAGTCAACATCAAGGCTTCTGAGTCTTTTCTTGGGAGGCTTTTCAATTTTCTGGCCGGAGGGCTGTTTTTTGAAGCGCATGACACCACAACAGATGTTGCACTCACCAGGCGAAGTCTGTCCAATCCAGCTTTGGGGGAAGCCGGATTCAAGTCAACAGCAAGGCTTCTGAGTCTTTTCTTGGGGGGCTTTTTTGTGGCCTGGGATCCACAGAAAACGGCGTTCATTTGCACCCAATATACGAAAGAAATGAACGCCAGCCCGTTTCCCCAAAACCTGTGTTTCGCCACCGGAAATCGACCGGGTTTGCTGCGTTTCGTGGCAGAGCCTCCGGGGCCCTGTATCGCTTAAGTAAGATACTCCGCTAGCCCTCAAAGGCTAGCTTTCGTGATTTTGACAACCTGCGCCCCGTGTAGGCATTGGGCGAACTGTGGTCCGGCATGAGTTTCACAACTTGTGCACGCCTGAACACAACTCGCAAGAAAGACTTGGGCAGCTGGCCAGAGATGGGGCTCGGAGACCCCGACTTGGCAGACTTCCCCTGCAGGTAGAAGCGAAAGCGAGAAAGATGAGACAGAAGTGGCAAGCTCTGGATGCTGAAACATCTGAAATTTCTCGCTGCATACAACTACTTCATGCAAGCTGAACAGAAACCCTTGCCACTTGACATCGCAGAGGCCTGGGGTGTCATATGGCACATGGCAACACTTTGCTGAAACTTCCAAGCGGCCGATTGCTCAGCACTCAAACAAGGTGAAGGGACCTCTGCCTCAATCGCGCGGCGCCACCTCCACAGAAGGGTGCACAAGTCACTTTGAGGTGAGAGTAAGAAGATGGGTAGTGGGGGGGAGGGGAGGCCAGTATCACTTTCGCCTCTCAGAGTCTCAGAGTCCTTGGCTGCACTGAGCTCTGGTTCCGACATTGGCCTGTGGTCGCAGTCTCTCAGGACGTCCTGCGCTGAAAGACACTCCGAGGATAGGGGAAGGAAACTCAACTGCTGCAGGATGAGAACATATGAGAACGAATTCTTCGGATTCGGATGCTACAAACCCGTAAGACTCCGACCATCGCAACAAGCGACAAAGCTGTTTGGGATCCCAGCCCCCCTCAACACCTCAAGCCACCCGTCCTGCAAGATGTCGCGCAACCGCTCTGCCTGGTCCGAACAGCTCACCGGCACAGCTCACCACATGTCGCGTCACTTTTCAAAGAGCCGGAACCATCTCTAGCAAATGGAGCTCATTGTCTCGACCTTCGGCCAAGAGGCGTGCAGATCCCCCCCGCCCCTTAACATATGGCCCGGGACCCACCGTGTTAATCCACAACCTGGATGTTTTGCACTCCAGGTTTTCGGGTCGGCTGCTCCCCAGCTTCTTTTCCTCGACGGTCGACTCGACTCAGACGTGCACCAGCGGCCTGCCGACGAGCACGTCCGGTGGGCTTGAATCGGCTGCCGAGGCCGGTCGTAAGCCCGAGCCTCCCACAAAACGAGTTTGCTTTGTGCGTGCCCCCCTCACCCCCGTAACCAACCGGTGTCGGACGGTGCGTCATGACTGCCCAGCCTCCCCCCCCCCCCTTCCCCCCCCCCCCCCTTGCTCTGATGAGAGCTCCCCACTATTCATGCCGCCAACCCACTCCCCCTCCTAGGCCCCCTGCCCTCGCCGAGGCGGCCTCGTGCCATCGGTTAGACCGTTTCATGCCCCGAAGCTTCCGTAAACTGCTAGCCCACGGCCGCTTCCACGCTCTTCCGCAAGGCGAAACGAAGAAAGCTGAATTCGATGATGAACCCTCGCCTCACCCAGGCGTTCCGCTGGGCCACGCAGGCCGGCCTCGGAGTCTTCGAAGCCTGCAACCTGAGCGCTCCAGCTTCGAAGCTTCGGAGGCACTTCGAAGGAGCTTGGAGCTTTTCTGATGTGTGAGGAGAGCGTTTTCTTCAGGAGTCTACAGTTGAGCCCATCGGCCTTGAGCACCTCGACAGCTGCGCTGCTGTCACTGAAGGTCTCCTAGAGAGGGACCACCAATGTGACCGATGGAGGTGGGCAGTTCGGGTTTTGGGTGGCTTTCGAGGTTTGGTGAGCAAAACAAGGCAAGCAAACAGAAGCACACCATAGTACACTCTCGGACACGTGCACACATTGCACAGTGAAAGAGGAAGTCGAGCATCAGCTCCTTGAATCGCGCGCTGGACAAGTTCACCTGCAAAACAATGTGGGCGGACATGGTGAACAGAGGCAAACAGTGAAGCAAGAATGGCAAACTACCAACAAGCGTCTACAAAGTGGAGACCTGATGAGCTGGAGAGCCGCGGCTCTCAACACCGTTCCCCCCAACGTGCTCGCCCTCAGCCGTGCGCCTCGCGGTAGCGCTCTTGCCCAGGATTTGCCACCTCGGGAACAAGGCTGTAGCACCCCTCCTAGGCCTACACTGTTGAACCGCCGGTAACTCTGCAATATTGACCACAAGAAGGGTTAAGCAGGAAAGCTCGCTCAAGCATCCAGATGCAGAAGCATGCACGTCACCTCCCCATGCAAAAAGATTAGTTTAAGTGCCCGTCCCCCAGATCACCCAATCAATTAGCCCCTTCACTTGTCATATTTTGATACTCTTACATCTCCATGATCCCTGGTAATCAACACTCGGCCAGAACGAGCCCCCATAGTTGCCGTGATCTGCACGCCCTATCAGCCCCCTGTACCTCAACAACCATGCAATGACTCTCATCGCAAGAAAGAGCGCATGCAGCACCCTTGCAGCGCCCTCGCATACCATAAAACCAACAGCCCCAACAACATGCAAAAAATCCAAACAACTCTAGTCATGTCCAACAGCCCCCAGAAAACATCCCTAAATCCACTTTCAAAGCCTCGAAAAAAGGCGAAGCTCTCAGACCATCTAGAGATCTCGAACCCCGACCAGGTTCTGCAGGATCAGGGACGCAGTCTGGAGGGAGCGGCGGGCCTGCAGGCTGGGCAGGCTGAGTGCCTAGGTTCTCAACTGCTCAAAACAAGACTCTACCGTCTGTCTCCATTCTTCCGTGTCAGAGAGTCTGCTGCACGTGCGGGAAATCCCAAGGTCCTAGGCCGTAGGCCCACCTCTGCTGTGCTGCCTGCTGTTCGTAGCAATCCCTGCACCGCGGCATCGGCCTTGAAGAAAGATTGTTAGGCATCTCGAGGCAATCAAAATTTCTCAAGTGCACGTGAGGCAAGCTGGCCAGGTGCAGCAATCGAAGCAGTGTGCCCAAGTACAAGCTCAGCCCCTGACCCTTTCAAACCACCGCGGCCAGTTTTCCCTGGGCGCCTGGATATCACGCTTTGTGCTGTGGTGTCCGGTCCCTGTTAGTGACTGTTAGTGCACCGGGCCGCCGTGGCCTGCACATAGGAACCCACCTTTTGCTATAGGTTGAGAGATGTTGAGAGCTATCTGAAAGAAAACCGAAAGGGAGCTACTCTTGCATCCTGCGGTCAGGGTGAGAACCACTGGGCGGGCAGGCGTCGCCATTTTCCAGGGCATTGGTGGAGGTCCGACCTTCTGTGACATTGCGCTCCACTTTGAAGGCTTTGCAAAGATCTGGATGCTACTAGGACATCAGGCGAGCCTGGGCTTCAGTTTCGGGGTGGTAACTGGTAAGCTTGGCAAGGCATGCAACCCTTATAGCTTCTGGGAGCCATCACATGTCCAATCGGGTCTGTACAGGTCTCATACATAGTTCATGGGAGTTGCACGGGCTGAAAGTAGGCACCCAAGGCAGAGAGCTTAGGCTCCACAGAGCGAGAAAAGTGCGGGTCTTTCAGTGCTCCCGCCAAGCACCGTCAACCACCGTCTCTCCTCTCCAATCAGGCAACAGAGCTCAAAGCCAAATCTAGAAGCTAGAAAGTCCGCAAGGGGCAGCCCCAAAATTTGCACCAGGTCTCTGACACGCCACAAGAGATCGGAGCATCTGCAGTGACCTTTGGGGTCGACTGGCAAATTGAAGCGCTGAAAGCCAACTCAGCGCCGGTCCGATGCAGACGAGGAAAGAGGAAAGCCAAGCCGCAACACCATGCAACACCTGAAGTCCCAAACAGAACGGTTTTGAACCTCCCAAACTTCTGATGTCAAACTTGACAGGCTTCCCGGCTCGGAAGCCAGCTCCATGCGGCAGGTGGTCACCTTCCTGCGAAGGTAAGGATGTGGGGGCCTCTGCAGGGCCCATGCCGGGCCTATGAAACTAAAGGGTTCCAAAAGCTTCTCATCTCAACCATCAAGCAGCGCCATCTCGGCCATCTCCACACCTCCTGCACGCTTCGTCCAGCTTCCGCTGGAAGTCTGAAGCTGCCATCTGGTAAAGCCGCTGCCTCGGCTGCGAAATTCAACTCCATTCACTGAAGCCGCAGCCCACAAATGCCACGGTTGGAACCTAAGCCGGTCTTGTCCGTGTTCGACTTGATAGGTGCCTCGTGTTGGTGTTTTGTTGTCTGTGCCGGGGCCCCTGTGCGCTCAAGTCGCTTGCCTGTGTTGCACTGCTCTGCTCTGGGAGTTGGGGGGGGGGGCGGCGGGGGAGGGGAGGCCGGGGGCCTTTTCCTTTCATTTCCTCCTGTCCTCTGCATCTCCATACGCCTCGGCGGCGGTTAAGTTCGAGCTGCAAGTCACTGCAAGTTGTTGTCAGCTGTGTTTTTTCCGCGCAAGAACCATTTCTACTCTACACGCAAGCGCAAGCGTCCGACTTCACAGATTGGGAAAACGGAGCTTCTGTTGACACGGGGCCACACTAGAAACATGCAGAAGATGGGGCAGAATAGAATTGTCTTAAATGCCCCCGTGATAATACTAATAAATGTATTGTTCTGGCGTGCACATTTTTCTTATCTTTTCGCACGCCCATAACAAACAAAAATGTATATGCTAAGAAGCCCTAAATATGATAGTAAACAGGTCTCACAATGATTTCGTTTCAATATGCGCTCGTGGAGTCACTCTCTCACTTTATTCCTCACTTTTCACCGCTGCTTGAATATGATTTGTGCCTTCGCTCTATTTTCTCTCTCCCTTACAATAATATCCTGATTGCGGTCCCCTGAAAGGCCCCATGAAAAGAATAGAAAAAGGAAGTGAGCCGTTCCCTCTTCTGCGCCAGACCAAACGGTGCTAAACTAAGTATGGCAGAAGATGTTCTCTAGCACCAATTCTCAACCAGTGCTTTCGAAAAATGGGGAGTGCCTATGAACCCCTGTACCCTAAACCTAAACCCTAAACCCGTTGCAAGAGACCTGCAGATGGCCGAGCGGCTGCTGTTCCACCGACCGCCGCAATGAGGCAGTGGCTTGCCGGGTCTCCTAACGAACAAGAAACGACACCCAAGTCTTGCAAAGTCTGCACACAACAAAAAGCGGACTGCTTTAGGACATTCGTATGCTCCACACAGCCGGCTTTTGTGTATTGTTGTCGAAGGGAATTTGCTTGTGGGTTGAACATCATGGACGAGGCCGCATGCACACCCCCAAAGCGCTTCAGCAGGAAACAAGTGATCGGGCTAATCGGCTAGCTGACACTGCGAGCAGAAGGCAGACGGGTTACTAAGTCCGAACCAGAAAAGCTTTCTCAACATACAGCCCAGGATTCTAAACAAGCCTAAACTCCTTCCAACGGGGATCCCAAAATGGCACTCGAGAGGAATGGTACCGTTCAGTCGACACCAGCATGGTAATGCCCCTCAGGTGGTGCGGCTAACCAGCCCCCGAGTTACTATATGAACACACTACTGATGGCAGCGACCACGTGCGCCAGACAGTTGCGCAAGGGAGCGACGAGGTCATGACCGACCTTATCTTTGCCTTTGCTTTTTGTGAGGTGGCGTTGATGGTTGTTGGACATCGGTTGGCATACCGCATATGCAGAGGGAGCCCCCGGAGCCTTCCAAAAAGGCCTGAATGGGCTCGAACCAACAACTCAAACATCCCCACACTTCCACATCCCTTTTGTTTGCCTGCTGTCTCTGTTTTGCACCCATCCTTCCCAAAATCTTTTGATCCGAAGCATTCTCCTCGGCATGTCCTCGGAGCGAGGCCACCAACTCGGCCAAACGCTCGCCAAGGCGGTCGCCTGCTTTCAAAGAAGGACTTGAGATGGTTTAAGAGTGTTTGGGGAACTGAGGGGAAAGTTGAGGTGCTGTCGATGGCCACACCACGCACACGATCCCAAGCCCGGCCCCATGCCTTCGACACGTTGTGGCGCCGCCTCACAGAAGCGACGTCTACCATTTGTGCATTCAGGAGCCGTGTAGCAGCAGAAAGAGACGTCACATGGTCGGAGTTCCTTGGCAACAGGGTCTGCCAAGATCAATCTTATCGACCCCCAACTGCGCTGCTGCTATCTGCTGCTGCCAGAACATCCACCACCCGTTTACATGTCAGTCCGCTGCTGACCGTTGCCTTGCATCATCACCATATCAACGCATGCCAACATCAGACAGTCTGAAACCCTTACCACATCACATCACATCATTTTGCAGTCCAATCAAAGAAAGTCTGAGCTCACCTGCAGCATGCCGGGAGCTGCCTGGGAGCAGCTTGAGAAATGTCTCATGCCGAGGCCAGCTGCATCCATGAAGCTTAGCTCTACCATCAGGGTGACGTAACTTGCAGGTACTGGTCTGGCACAGTTCATCTGCGTGCTACGTCACGGCTTGAATCTCTGCTGACTCTGCAGTGTTCAGGCTCTGGCCTTGGGCAATGCCGGCCGCAGCAGGCGCAGCGACAAGAGCCTTGCAGCTCGTCTGCTTTGGGCTCAGGTTTCAACATGTCCTTGTTCTGAGCTTATTCTTGTCTACTCTTCTTTCTAGGATGGGCTTTTGCCGTTCTTGTGGGCAGTTTAGGTGGGGATCTACGGAAGTGTGGGAGAATGCCAGGAACCCTGCGCATCGAATGTGCTTCTGATTCAGAAGAACATCTCCAGATCATCTCTGTGTGCCCTATCATTGTGGTTTGTGTTCGGCGGGGTCTGCAGGGCTGTCCTACTCTTTTCTTGCATCGTTGTTCGTCGGTAAAGGTGCAAACTTGAAGGTAGGAATCCTGAGCGGCGACAAAATCTCTCGCCTCAGTCCATGCTGTTGCAGCTTGGTGATACTTATTGACCAACGCTGGAACAAGTACTGTCTTCAAAAACAATCATTTTCTCCAGCTCGTCGGTCTCTTTGCTGCGGTTCAGTTGGACTGCCGGGCCACCCAGCTCTCCAAATGACGAAGAAACCTCTTTACTATTCGTTGTGCTAAAAAAAACGTTGTGTTGCGTTCGAGACGATAGCGGAACATGCTGAACCGATACTGCCTCGTGGCGAAATCCATTTACCTTCGCGTGGGAAGGTTTTGCATCAACTCGATGGTCACCGAGAGAGAACCTTTACAAGATTCGCAGTTTTTTGTTTCTTCCTTGGGGTCTTTCTGGCTTTACGGGATCCACAGAATTCTGACCCTGATTTGGGCTTGGCGGCGCTTCTGCACTTTGCAAGGCAGAGCTTCCGAGACGCAACAAAAACAGACAAGAAACGCAAGCGGCACATGACTTCCTCACAATGCAAGAGTTGCCATTCAGGGCGTTCCAAAGTCGAAGGTGTGCACGTCACAACGCCAGAAGCTACTGGATTTGAGAAATCGCCTCCAAAGACTCAGCAGGCGCCAAAGCAGTACCAATGCAGCACCGCTGCTCGCTCCAGAGAGGAGCAATACCTGAGTAATCAAAGGGTTCAAAACTTGGTGTGTGCACGCTGCTTTCAACCGCAGGAATATCCCAGAGCTTCTCCCAGTGAAGGTTTGAGCACCAGCAAAACCAATGCAGGAAGTTGTATCTCACAGCATGCGACAATGGCAATAGCCTTCGCACCTCGTGCAACACGTGAACTCTAGCAGACAGGCCCTGTTGCGCAGCGGCCTGAAGTAACCTGCGTGCAAGCTCGTTAAGCCTCTGACCCACCAAGGTGCTCCGCGTGGCTGGACCTGAAAATGAAACATGTAGCGAAGACCCGGAACGCTGAAACGACACCTTGAAAAACGCAAGCATCCAAATATCCAAGAGCATTCAAGCCCGTGGTCTCTTCATGTCTTGGGTCCCCCGGCCCGTGGCGGCCAAGGGGCTGCCATGGTCAGCACCTGCATTTTTATTTGGCTATGGTTTCAGCTGCACTTTGCTCCAAGTCAGTCACCCTATCTTGTTATTGAGAACCGGCAACCCGGACCCGAGCCCAACCAACTGTCAAGGACCTTTAAGGCTCGTCCATGCAGCATGCCTTAATGGCCCTGATGCGAATGTGTCGGGCCCAAAAGCACTTTGTGAAGAAACAAACATGAACCTCCGAGCACGCAGCGCTGAATGCAAAGCGGCATTCATGGCAACACACAGCACATTCTAAACAGAAAGATGCATATCAAGTGGCTCAGTTGCCGTACTGGTCTGCAACGTGAGATGCGGCTGTGCTGCACGTGTTTCACTTGTGGGTGCCTCATGCTGGCTCATGCCTTACCATGCCCAAACATTCCGTGGTTCGAAGCCCGACAAGCAACCGGATGCTCCTCAACAGGCTTCTGGTCTTGGGAGATGTACCCACCACTAAAGATGCTGAGGCATGCCACGAACCGGCTCGCTCAAATCAGATCACCCCCCTGTTTGATTCAGATCCAGGTTTGCGATTCAACACACACACACACACACACACACACACACACACGGGGCTAACGGGATCAGCTGGGGAGGGCCTAAACGTCTTACTGCGGGAACTGGAACTAGATGGTGAACTAGATGCATGAGTCTTCTGTCTTCATCTCCACGTCAAGGGTCTCTAAACCTGTTTGGAACCCTGTTTTAAGCCCTTAGAGACCGTACCATCCAGGTTCTGCTCAGGCTTGATCTGAGTTTAAGACCCAGTCTTTAAGTTTTCACAATGATTCCCAATCTATTCCAAAATATGTTCATGAAGAATCTAGATCACATAAACTCTGTACGAGGACGCTCCCCTCTTTTTTCCACGGTCAGGGGTCAATCAAAAGCGAGGCGTTCGAAGAGTGAAGAGTTCTTTCGAAGGTTTTCGGTTGGAGCACCCAGCATGTATGCGTTGAGATGCGCACTGGCTGTTTAGGTGCATGTTACCGATTTGCCCCAACACGCATAACCCCCCCTCTCCAAATCGGTAAGGAAAAACTCCGAGGGTGGGAGGGCGGGTGAAAAACTTTAGCATAGCTCAGCACTAGCATTGTCCATATCTGCGTACATCATGGACTGCCATGCAATGTGTGCCAGTGCGAAACGAGCCATGCTGAAAGAACGGCGCGGCAGATTAATGTCAGTCCCTCGGTGGGGCATGCCAGGGGTTTCCGGGGATTTACAAAAATTCCGGGAATTTTCAGGATTCCCCGGGTTCCCACATCAGTCTACAAATCACCGGTAAACACACTCTTGTGCTTGTGTCTTCAAACACATACAAGAGAAACGGAAGTCGAAGTTCAAAATACAGTTTGTAAAGATTTTGGAAATCATTGCTCAGCTCAACCGGCTGCTATGAAAACAAAAAGACAACTTCGTCGCTTCGCGAAAACGCCGTCTTTAAGTTTTCACAATGATTCCCAATCTATTCCAAAATATGTTCATGAAGAATCTAGATCACATAAACTCTGTACGAGGACGCTCCCCTCTTTTTTCCACGGTCAGGGGTCAATCAAAAGCGAGGCGTTCGAAGAGTGAAGAGTTCTTTCGAAGGTTTTCGGTTGGAGCACCCAGCATGTATGCGTTGAGATGCGCACTGGCTGTTTAGGTGCATGTTACCGATTTGCCCCAACACGCATAACCCCCTTTAAAAGTGACCGTAACTATTTGAGGAGTTCCCAGGGTATCTGTACAGTAGCCATGCACTTCGCGCACAGACTCTCGATACTAAGCGCAGTCTCACGACCTTTGATCAGGGCTGCTGTCTCCGTAACCAAACCACGACTCGGAGGATCTGCAATGTTACTCTGAGAAGGCACACGCTCCAGCCAAGTGACTCCCTGATCTTCATTCTCGAGCTCGAAGAAGATCGAAGCCAGTAGCAGCATCGTTCGGGATCTGCTTCCCCCTTTAATCAGAACTTCTCTCGCTCCTTCGTTGTCCACGAAATAGATGGCCCTCCTTCCCGTGAGCAGGCGAGAGAAGGATTGTCGGGCTGCAACCACAGCGAACGCCTCGGCCTGCCCGATCACCTGTTCAGGGCTATCCAGCCGCCAGAACCTAACCAGCGAATCCGGAATCCTCCCTCCAGCGACCAACCTTGTGTCGGTGAAGCGATCAATTACCACCACGCCATAAGATGCGATCCCATGTTCATAGGCAGCGTCAGTAAAGATCACCACGGGACTCACGGGTCCCCTGCAGGCAAAGATTCTAGGCGTACAGGCGTCTATGAGATCCACCCCAAAACTGCAGAGCGAGCGCAAGTCAGAAACGGTCCGCATCCCAGGATCGCGAAGAAAACTTCCCAAAGCCCTTTGTAGCAACTTCAGACCTCTTCCCGAAGCGAATCCGACAGCGAAGTTGACTTGCCCTTGCAGCGATTGGATGGAGTGAATGTCCCATTTGCCACTCAAGCTCATCCTGAGAAGTGCGTCTTTCATCCTGTCCAACCTGCTAGGCTTGTTGTGCAAGGAGACCACGCCATCAGCGATGCCGCCAGCATTCAGCCTAATCCCCAGAAGGTCGAAGGTCTCTTCGAAGGGCAGCGACTTCTCAGGCTCAGTTGAGTACTTCCACCCAAGCTTCCGAAGCATATGCTCAAATGACTCTGAAGAAAGTTTTGCCGAAGTGTCTACCTCCAGAAGAGGAAAGTCGTCGTAGAAGCATCCAGAAACCAGACCGAGAAGATGCCAGCTCAGGTGCAAAATCGATCTCGACAGCCTGTTAAAAGCGAATACCGACGAAGTAGCCCCGAAGGGGAGGCTCTGCGCCACGAAGTAGCGGTGTTGTCCTGTCGAAGGTTCCGTGACCATGACAACGCCAAACTTCAGTGAATCACACGACAGTGGAACTTGTCGGTAAGCTTTTTCAAGGTCCAGCGTGCGTCCCAGCCATCTAGGTGGCCGAGACTTCCATTGTGGATGAATTTCGCCCCTGAGCACCTCACCACAGCTGAGCTCCACTTCCAAAGGCGATGAAGGATCAGAAACTCTAGCTATGTACGTGCTGATGGCTGTCATCCAGTTGACATCAAAGAGGGCAAGCTTCTCCAAGCAGTGGTAGGCCTCGTTGACGCCCCCCTCCTTGTAGTTGTCGATGGGTCTGGCCTTCGGCCTTTCCGGGGTCCCTTGCTCTATGAGGAAACGCCGCGAGCACACGAACTCGTCGACTCCCAGGTGCTCCCTGACCTCGTTCTCAGAGGCAAAGGGGCCTTTCAAGAAACCGTTGTCTCTGTCTTTGATCGTACAGTCCCACAGCTTCTGCCTAGCTGCGGCATCGTCCTTGTGCGGGTCACGCCCTTTGAGTCGCTCCCTTCTCCAGCTGGCAGATTCCAAAAGAAGGTTTCCGTCAGAAGTTGCCGGGACCTCTTTGACGTCGAACAGCGGCGACTTGTCGGGTTTGCCCACAAGATCCACCCCCTTCATCAGCTCGAAAACGCCCTTGTCGGCAAACAACGTTTCCTCCAAAAGATGCGCCCAAAGCAACAAATTCTTGTCCTTGACCACCTCGCGAACATGCTCGGGCAGCACGGAATGCAACCGCGCCTCTTCATAACGAAGTTCTTTTTCCAGCTGGTTCAGTTTCTGAAACATCTGAACCCTTTCCGAAGCGAAAGCCGTAGGTCCCTCCGTCAGTCTCCGAAAGATGTTCCTCTTCACTGCATCAGGAACACAGTGCTGGACATCGAAGGGGTGGTCAAGCTCCAGTGCACATTGAACGAATTCCTGAGGCGTTCTATACACCCCAAACCTCCCGCTAGAACCCTCTAAATCGGAGGTGAACTCTTTAAAGGGCCTATCCAAAGGAGGGGTTGCGCTAAACTCGAGGAACTCCGGGAGGAGTTTGCGGGTGCCCTTCTGCTGTGGCCACAAGGGTCGAGGGCCTGCTGGGGGGTCAAGTCGGCCTGGCAGGCCCGCTGCAGCGGAAAGGAGGGACGCCATCTCGTAGCACAGTCCCGCGGGATACTCGGCTTCCTGGGCAGTGGAGAAACTCCAGGACCCGTTGCAACGGTAGACAAGGTAGGGCAGATGTTCATGCATGCCGTCGCAGTCTGCTTCCAGGCTTTGAAGTAAAGCATGACTACAACGAAAGCGGGTGCGCTTGGGTCGCCTGCCGCCCTTCATGCAGTTGCTGAAACACACGTCTTGCATGGACGACCAGCGCTTGAGCAGGAGGGGGCACTTGGAGTTGCGAACGAAGTAGGCGAGGACCGCCCAAATCCAGGAGTTCTCCGGATTCTCTATGCTCAGATGGCAGGAGCTGGGCAGTTGCTGCAACAAGAAGACCACGAAGCGACAGAGTTCATTGGACTTGTCGACGCGGATCTGATCCTTCTCTGAAAGCCCAGGCAGTCCGAGAACGTGCTCGGCGTCTCTGAGGGGGCGAGGCTCAGGAGCCCCTTGAAGTCGAGCTTTCTTGCTGATAGGTCGCTCACGAGCGCGACTGCCCGTGCCGCACGGGAGAGCAACGTGGACCGCGAAAGGAGCTTCCTCAAGAAGCCGGGCCAGGAGCTGCTGCTGACAGGCCGGTTCGGTGAGGTCCAAGACAAGCACGGGATGCTCGGGCTTGTGTGGGTTCCAGGGGGCATCAACGGGCAAGACTCGAAAGCCTGCGGCCTGACAAAACCTGGAGAGGCGGGCGCAACCTGCAAAAAGCTCAACAAAGAGGGGTCCTGAAGGATCAGGGTTGGTCTGGGAGGTAGGCGAGGCAAGGGGTAAGGTCTTAGGGACACTCTGAGTGGCAGGCGGAAGGGGGAAATCAAGGGCTTCCAAGAAGGACCGGGTTTCGGGGGGAATGTCGGCGGTCTCTTTGGCAGTGTAGCACACAAGCACAGCGCGGTCACCTTTCCACGGAAGGGTGGCGTGTCGCCTGTTGGGAGCCGGCAAAAAACATAGCCCTTGCGACACTTCAAGCACTCGGCCCCACAAGGTTTGACCCTGATGAACAAAGGGGGTGCTGCCGGCGGGGTCCTCACACCAGACGCCTCCTTCAGAGAAGGCCGTCAAGGGGTACAAAAGGTTTTGGCTTGCAGGGTCATTCGCAGTGTCCTGGTGAAGGTCGGTTTTGAGGTTTGTGAAGACTGCAATCGTGGTGCACGTGAAGTCAGGGCAAAGTCCTCTGACGAAGCGGGAGAAAACTCGAGTGGACAAGGGGTGCTGTTTGCTCGTGTCGCGAACAAGCAAGCCCGGGAGCTTGGAGCAAGCGAAAGCACCCAAACTAACAGAACGGCTACCGGAAATGTCAACTCCCCGGGCGGGGACTTCCGACGGCAAAGCAAGGCTCAAACGCAAAAGGTCATCTGGAGATATGCAAGATCGGCTGAGGAGCGAACTGGCGAGCTGTTCAGCAGCGTAGCGGCTGCCACCGGTCTCATCATCCCGAAAGACGGGATTCACTATGCCGGCGGCCGCAGCGGCCGATCACTGAAACTCCGGACACTCGTAAGCCGGATGAGGTCCCAGGCACTTCCAGCACACATGGCGCCCTCGTCGGCACCTCTTTCCCGCCTTGGCGAAGGTGCAACCCCGTAAGTTGAAGGAGAAACACAAGGGCTTTCCCTCGGCGTCCTGAGAGTGGCAGCCGGAGGGCACGGTCCAGGTCTTTTTCTTGTCCCCTTCGCCAGGAGTCTTGGGCGCCTGCGGATTGGTCGGAGGCTTGAGAGCAAGATCACGATCCTTGCGCACAGGCTTGTTAGGCGGCTTGTTGGGTTGTTTGGGCTTAAGGGGAAGATCTGGATCCGGGGCAGTCTGCTTAAGCAACGGGATGAGGTAGCACTGCACCTGCGTGTGATCCTTCCACTTGGCGAGCGAAGCCTCAAAAGGGTAGGAGCCATCGGGTCGAATGGACAAAGCTCCTCTGGTGTCCTCAGCGATGCGGGTCCACAGCATTTTGTCGGCCTCACGGAGCTGTTGGAGGGAGACACGTTGCATCCCTGGTGGCTGAGAGCGCATGTGCGTCTGCAAGAGCTGATCATGCCAGCGCTCCAAATGCTCATAGCGGCAAATCCGTCCCAACTCGAAGGCAAGGCTGCGGCGTTGCAGCGCCAACTTGATGGCGTATTCCCCTAACGTGCTGCAGCTGGGGTCACTGGAACGGCGGAGCAACTTCAAGTTCCCAGCAGAATCGAACCCCACAGAATGGTCGACCTTCTCAGTAGTGATCTCAAGAGCCCGACTGGTCAGGCGCTCCCATGGCAGCCAGAGCAGGGATTGATCGGCGACCATTTGTGCAACCAAGTCTTGGAGCTTGTGCGAGGGCTCAACGTCAGCGCTCCAATGGATGCCCACCAGGCGTTTCTGCAACTCACTGATGCGTTGGGTGCGCTCAGCGAGAGGCATGCGAACTGGCTCGGAGGTGTCAGTCCGCTCGACTTTCCCACGCATCTCAGCAAGAGCTTGTGTGGTGCTCTCAAACCAAAGTCTTCGAGCAATGCATAGCACTTGGTCGCTGGGCGCCTGCCCCAAGGCACGCTTCAGGGTAGCAACCAAAGGGCCTTCATCGCTGTTCCCGGCCGACAAAGGGCCGATGAACGCTAAGGAACCGAAGGTGTCCACATGCACGGCCGCCAGCTTAGCTAAAGCCTCCTCTGGAAAATTGAGCTCCAAGGCTCGTGCCTTGAAGGCTGCACGACTATCAAGTGAGGACATGTTGCCTCGGGACAAAAGCTGCGCGGAACACAAGGCAGAGCTGCATGTGGCATGAAAGTTGCATAATGTCACTGAAGCTCAGAATTTGCAGAACGCTACCCTGAAGCTCAAAGTTGCAGAAAGCTACAGAGCTCGAGAATGTTGACCAAATACTGCACCCACGCCGGCCAAGGACGGACCTGCATCGCCAGGCGGCTTGGGGTCAGTCCCGAATACCGCCTCGTAGACGACGAGCAGACCGGATACTGTCGTAGTACAGCTTAGCGCGGCTAGGGGAGTACCCCGGTTACCGCGGGCAGCAAAGACTTGATTTGCATGATGTCTAAGGACATGTAAATAGCAGTCCAGGAACTACAAGCGGGGTGCAGCTTGGCTAAGCGCCTCAACGCGGGCTTGGATGACATCCGAGTACCCGACAGGCGAGCAAAAGGAAGTGAAAGGGCGCAAACTGTTTTAGCTCTCCGCGGGACGGTATCAGCTGCTCTTGTATGTTTGGCTACACCGCTTGCATACGAGCAGGTCAGACGCAGGAACATTCTGATCCAACTCGCCAAAATTGCGGGTTATGGGTCGGCCACACAAGAACTTGGCCCCTTCGGAAGCCTGTATATGCACCGTCCTGCTGTAAATATGCATCTTGCTGAAAACACTCGAAACCTGCGCCGCCGTGAGAGCAGCATCAAGAGGCACCCCCACAGCTCTGGCCTCGAGATCGTCGACGTCCAGGTCAGAGCCCTCAGCTTCGGAATCCGACACAAAAGGGTCGTGTTCCACCACCTTCTCCTGAAGCTGAGGTCCTTCAGATGCTTGGATCATGACTGCCAATCGCATGACTCGACTGTCATCGGGCTTGAACTGGCCAGCTCGAATCTTCCGCAGAATGTCAGAAAAGATTTTCATGAGACGACAAAGCTCGTCCCGACTGTAGGTGAGTGGCGAGCGGGAAGCGGGATCGAGATGATGTCCGGCAATTCGCCGGTCTTCTAAAGATATGCCACCGAATTTCGCAAGCCAGCTAAGCATGGTAGCCTTTGAGCTGTGGGAAGACACGCGACTAGCAGGGGGCAAATCAATCTGGCTGGCTACCAGGAATTCCCGAAGGTACAAGCTTAGTTCACCAGTCGACATGCGACGTGTGAGCCAGCATTGGGCCGCCTCGCTGAAGGCGGGCAGGGATGGCTTCAGCGAGAGACCGGCATCCTGCCGAGCTTGCATCCAGGCCGGCCCCCAGGCGCTTGTGTACAAGAAACACCCCAAACTGAGGAGCGGCAGCAGAAGGTTCTTTCGGTCGCCTTGGGCAGTCCTGTAAGACACAGTCAAACTTTAGCATAGCTCAGCACTAGCATTGTCCATATCTGCGTACATCATGGACTGCCATGCAATGTGTGCCAGTGCGAAACGAGCCATGCTGAAAGAACGGCGCGGCAGATTAATGTCAGTCCCTCGGTGGGGCATGCCAGGGGTTTCCGGGGATTTACAAAAATTCCGGGAATTTTCAGGATTCCCCGGGTTCCCACATCAGTCTACAAATCACCGGTAAACACACTCTTGTGCTTGTGTCTTCAAACACATACAAGAGAAACGGAAGTCGAAGTTCAAAATACAGTTTGTAAAGATTTTGGAAATCATTGCTCAGCTCAACCGGCTGCTATGAAAACAAAAAGACAACTTCGTCGCTTCGCGAAAACGCCGAAATTGTATCATCTGGATTCACTTCTGGGACGAACACCTCTTTCACCTCTGCTAACACCCTTTCCACCTGCTGTCCAGCTCCTCATCTTAAAGTACTAACTCACTCATAAGGTACAATGTGAAGAGAACACCCACATCACCGGCCAAGATCTCCTGTTAACGGTTGATCTGGGCCTGGAACTCTGCAGCACAAGCAGCTGTAAGGCAACTAGGGTTCCGATTAAGGCGATTAAGGGTTCCTCCGTTGATCAGAGCGAGAGCGAGAGCGAGAGCGAGAGCGAGAGCGAGAGCGAGAGCGAGAGCGAGAGCGAGAGCGAGAGCGAGAGCGAGAGCGAGAGCGAGAGCGAGAGTAGGTTTCATCGGCTGCCGGTGCCTTGAGGGGCACCAGCCCCCAGCGGGGATCCTCCGTTATGCTGCCTAGGGGTCTTGCCAATGCATGGTCCGGGGTCGGAAGTTAATACGATAATGAAAGACAAAAAACTATTATAAAAAAAACGATTTGAGAGGGGTAGAATTTAGAATGAATTCCCTTCTCCTTTGATTTTCTGAAAATGAAATAGAAAAAACAAAAGAAGATTTGAGGGGGGTCGAATTTTAAATAAATTCCCTTCTCTCTTTCCCTTCCTCCCAACTCCCCAAAAGCAAATGGCCCCCGCTCTTTACTTCAAGAAACAAAAACAGTCTCATGGTTGAACCTGGGTTCAATTTTTTTCAGAGTTGAGCGAACTGGTGCGAACCACCTCCTTGGTGTTTGGGTTGTGAAAACCGTGCCCTCTGTACTGGCACTCCTATGGTACAGGAGGAACCCCTCCCCTATGCTACCATCCTCTTTGGGATGCTACCAGAGGCTCCAACCTCCGACTGCGAGGCCCAACCTCCTGTCGCCGTCCTCAAACCGCAGTGTGGGAGCAGGCCGTGCGAGGATCGGCCAGGGGTTGGCCCTGGTAGCTCCGAGGATGAACCTCGTTCTGGGACCCCTGGCCTCGGGTATTCCATTATGCTGCCCAGCGGTCTGGCCAGGGCATACTCCGGCGTGGGCAATTCGTACAGGACTTTCATCTCGACTAGGTTGTTAAGTCGCTAGCCTGAATCCCGCACGGGTGCCCTAACGGGTGCCTAGCCTTCCCAACCTTGTGCCGGTGCAGGAAAGTAATGTTCCTGTTGTGACCACCCAACCAGAATGCAGCGTACCTTGCCAGCAACATGGTGTTGAGTACTATGACATGTGTGCAACGGACAGTGATGGAAACTGGACCGTGGCCCCTGCCACAAGCACTCCTGATGCCCGTCTCTGCATGCCGCAACATCTCTCAAGCAACCCTGCTACGTTCTTTGTTCGAACAGTCCAGAGCACCACAGGCCAAGGGAAAGGATGCAGGGATATAGAGATAGTGGTTGATTCGGGTTCGGATTCATCCTGTCTGCCACTGTCCTGGGGAGATGTGGGCATCGAGTGCGCTAACAGCCAGGAAAACTTCAGAGACGCGCAAGGGCATAGGATCACTGGTTCGAAAACACGCATGGCTGTTTTGCAGATTGGGGAAGTGCAGTTCAAGGAAAGATGGCTGCTGAGCAGCGTCAGCCGTCCACTGTTCTCGGTTGGCAAGCTGACGAAGCAAGGCTGGAACATCATTCATGATGAGCACGGAGTGCCGCACTTGACGAGTCCAGATGCATCTTTGCGTGTCCCCATGCATTACTGCCACAACAGCTTGCATACGACTGGGATGATTTCCAGCCTAACCGCATGTGATGACCGTGAGCCCTCTGTCATGGCTCTTGAAGTTTCTGGCCCGTGGCTTGCGTTGGGTGATCAGTTTCAAGAAGTGACATCAGGAGTGTATGCCAGGCGTGACATGTCCGACTGTCTTCTTGACTGCACTGTCCCACTGACGCACTTGGGAGTCCAGTTCAGGACTACGCTCAGGCAAGAGAGTACCGGCTGGGATGTGTTCGAACTGAACACGCCGTTGAGTTCACTTGAATCAGAAGCTGCATTTGTGCCCAGCCGCATCCATCACATCATCACCATTGGTTCGTGTAACAAGGTGAAGATTGATGAGTTGTTTGGGAGAGTGCCGCCAGCCAGGCGAGAACGTGCGTCGGGTGATGCAGAGTCCGACGCAGGCTTGATGTCCCGATAGGTGGAGTTGGCAAGGAGGAGGATGAAGCTCCTGGTGATGAGGCGGAGGAAGTGACGCAGGCGCCGATGCGTGCACGTGGTCGTGGAAGGGGTTGAGCTCCATGAGGGATGCACCTTGTCCAAGTTGCGAGCCGCTTGCATTGGGCATCGGTAAGAGTGGAGGCAAGGCAACTGTGTTGCAGCGCATCCACAACTTCATGGACCGCCAGAGACCGCTCGAACGACACCAGGTCGAGGATGCGAGAGTCGAACTGCCTCGTGAGCAAGCCCCTGTTGCCGAGCCTGAGGAGGTGCGTCGCCACGCACTGTCGCACGTTCCGTTCAGGCCTTGGCGCGAGCACTGCGTCAAGTTCCAGGCTCGTGCCGATCGCCATGTCTAAGCGAGGCCAGATGTCAGGCAGCACAGCACGTGTTCGTTTGATTTTGCCTTCACTGAGCGTGAAACCGGTCGCCGCGGTGATAAGCTGATCTGCTTGATCCTGAAGGATCCGCACACATCAAGCACAGGTGCCACGTGCGCAATCCCCACACCAGCAAAAGGGGGAACTGTGGCTTTTAAGTTCACGGTTGCCGAAGTTTGCAAATTCTTGGACTTTTGTGGCCATGCTAAGGTTGCCCTGAGGTCTGACACTGAACCGGCGTGTTTAGCTTTGCAACAAGGGGTAAAAGACTTGAGGTCGCCAATGAAGTTGGTTACGCACCTTGAACAGATCGAACCAGGCGATCATCAAAGCAACCCCAGTGAGCAAAGCGTGGACCAACTCAGGCAACTCACCGGCACCTTGCTTAGCCAAGTCGAAGCTGAGACTGGCCAGAAGGTCAGCACAATGTCTCCACTCCATGCTTGGTGTTGGAAGCACGCAAGCTGGCTGCAAGTACGTTACGGGCGCAGTGGTTCAGCTAGTCCGTTTGAGGTGATAACAGGGCGTCCGTACAATGGCAAAGTTGTAGGGTATGGAGAAGTTGTGTTCGCAAGGGTAAAGAGTTCTATCAAGGGCAAGGCAAGATGGATAAAGATGTTGTGGTTAGGAAAGTTGGGGGTGTCAGACTTGCACTTCGGAATCATGCCAGGAGGTTTCTTGATTTCCAGCAGGAGCGTCTGGCGGTTGCCGAGGCCGTATGATGCCTCTTTGCTTGAGTCGTTGCGTGACATGCCTTGGTGCCTTGCCAGCTTCCTTGCTGGACTAGTGGGCCAGGCCAGAATGCAAAGAACCCCAGCAGACGAAGCCGAGCTGCAGCAGCCTCCGCCTGAGGTCGTGCTGCCTGAGAGGCCACCACTTCCTTGCCCAGGTTACGTCTTGCCTGACAATGCACCGCTTGAGGAACTCATTCCTCCACCAGCCATCATTGCATCAGGCACGAACGAACCTCCTACGCCTGTTCGAACAGATGCCGAGACGCCGATTCCCACGGCTGCTGGGCCCGGCACACCCATGCTGGTTGATTCCGCCCAACCAGGCCAGTGGAGCTCGCTTCTCGTGGTTTAATGGGTGTGGGCGGTTCTAGCGAAGCGTCGGGTGCTCCTGGCCGTGCAGTCGACACTAGGGTGTCCGAGGCAGGCGCGGATGAACAGCCAGCGCCTAAAAGAGCACGAGTTCGGTTGCGCTTGGATGCAGTCCAAGTGGACAAAGACGGCAATGAGTTGCATAACGTCGATGAGCAGATTGAGCTTGTTGATGAGGCTGCTGAAGGCTTCATGGAGTGTGAAGAGTCTGAGGCTTTGGATAACTACGATGATGACGCCGACGCGTCAGCAAGCACAGAGATTCCCAGTTGCTTAGTCAGACCCGACCGAGCCACACTGCAGTCCGGAGGAGCTGGAATACATCGACGAAGTCGCAAGTCGCTGACAACTTTGCAAAGGTGCTGGAAAACGATCTCCAGAGCAAGAAAGACGTGGAGTGCTATGTGTGTCATGGAAAGGGACATTATGCCCGCGATTGTTGGTACAAGGATGGAGAGTCAGCCAACAAGCCGGATTCCCCAAGTGCTAAAGCGACAGCCAAGGCAAAAGGAAGTCCCAAGAAGAAAGCTGAAAAAGGAAAGCCTCAAGGCAAGGGAAAGGGCAAGGGGAAGACAGTTGCTGAAGTCTCCCAAGATGGCGAGTCTGATGACTATCATCTGGTTGGAGGTGAATGGAATGAGCCTGAGTCAGCGGCCCGAGTGGAATCTGTGTTACGACCTCTGGAGGACCTGTCAGATGAGGTGAGGAAGGAATGGATTCCCCGGAGCTCTTCCCTTTTTCTTCGTTGCCCTTTCCCTTATTGGGATCTCGAAAAGGTTGAAGTTTCGTACCAGGGGCTTCAGACCACACCCTCTGTTGCACTTCAAACTTCAGAGCAACTCGCTTCAGATCTCAAACGACTCACTGTTGCCATGCAACAAGCAATGGCTTCGGCATTTTTCCGGCAAACTGCGCAGCAAAACCATCACCGAATCAGCTTCTTGGATCTGTAATCCGCCAGCATGTACATCGGAATCGAGACTATTGAGCAACTTCGTCTATTTGTTCATTTCATGCTCAATCTTACAAACAATTTCCGGAATGCTTGGGGCTTTCACGGTCTGGTTCACCAACTGCGATCGAAAGTACAGGCATTCAGCTCGTGATTTTTCGCAAAATTCCTTCGCCAACAATCTCAATACCACGAAGCCAGACTGTTGATAAGTGCTTTCACTTTCAACATACGTCTGCAGAATCAGAGAACTCTTCTCATGACTTGCAAACGTCTGTTGCAGGATGTGCATCAATCGTGTCGAACGCTTCTGTGGCTCAACAGTAAGCCGATCCTGCATCAGCCTCGACTCATCTTGGGTCTTCACTGCATGCATCAACTCGTTGGGAAACACTTCAGAACCCAATCCAACCCAACTGGTCAGCTTCTCCATCCAGGTCAAGAAGCCGAGCACTTCCGAGATGCGATCTTTCCATGACGAGAAGTCAATGGTCGGCAAACTGGGCAACCATTTGTCTGATCGGGCAAACACATCTCTTTCACCGTCTTTTTCCACAGATGGCGGCCTTGGTGGTGGACTCCGGAACATCTGGGTCCCCTGCGCCGAGGTACCCACTGGCGATGCACCCATACATCCCCAAGACGAACTGGGCATGTTCTCCTCAGGAAGATTCTGAGGTGGAGGGGGAATATTCATGTGTTGCTGTTGCTGCTGCATCATCCAATGCTGTTGTTGTTGTTGTTGCTCCACCATAGACGATGTCATCGTCTGCATAAACTGTTGCTGTTGCACCACAAGCTGTTGCATCATACCTTCCAAGTCACGCACTTGTCTTGTCAACGCTTGCACATCAGGTGGTGAATGCAATGGCATCACCGAAGGTTGGGGAGACACCATAGGCAATCCCGGAGGTGGTGACGGGCTTCCCATCTCTTGCTGAGGTATTCCAGGGTTAGCAACCTCAGGATTTCTTGCAGGAGCTCGTCCCCTGTGCACCGGCCCATACACAGGTTGGTTCATCTGAGCCATACCTGGTCTCCAAGCTGGGTTGGCCTGTCCCAAACCCGGAAAAGGGTCTACCCTCTCCTTGTCTCCGCATTTGTGATAGGCATGGAACTTCCACGTTCACGTCCACCTCTTGGACTCCTCGTGTGAGCTAAACTGGCTTCACGTGGGGGCGTGTTCAACATCGCTCCTAGACTCAGGCTTCACCCTGCAGTCTTCCCACAACTTCTGCTTGGTGAAAGTCTCCTCACCAGCACAAGATGGTCCAGACTTCTGAAGAACCTTAGTTCCACTCTTCCTAGCACCGTGTTCCTCCAAGATCGGTCACAACCAATCCAGTTCCAGACAAACCACCTTGCCCGGCCTTCACAGTGCCTCACAAGCTTCTGAACCAACTGTTTCCAAGCCTTACCAGTCCGGATCCGCCTTCTCACAGGGTAGGCTTCCCGGAACTCACTCACACGGTCTGAGTACAAGGGATTCCAGTTCACAGGTAGTCTGGGAGTCAAACCCAAACAACCAAGGACCATACACGGGCTCGTACCACAAGGCACAAGCTCCGCTACCACGTAAAAAGCCGAAAGCCAACCTGTCTAAACCAAGCGCAGACACACTTTTTCGCTCGCAGGCCTTGAGCCAAAAGTCACAAAGTGCGCGTGGCAGCTAATGAAGGCGCTCACTGCGTGGCCGGCCCTTCAGGCTGTCACAACACTCAACATTGCCCGGCTTTCGCACAGGGTTCGCCGCATCTGGCATCTCCGATCGGCTTTTGTCTGGCCAAAATTTTTCTAATCATTCAGAAAAGTCCAGAATCTCAACCCTACCACGCGCAGTCTGGCGTTTTTATTTCCAGATAGTGAGTCAAGTTAACCGAGAGCCAACTCTCACTGACCACCATGTGGAAAGAAACCTGTGTGCTCTCTGCATTTTTCAAGGGGCGGGGCAGTCAGAGCAGGACAGCAAGTGTGCACTTAGCAACAATATACGTGAAAAAATGGATTCAAAATTGTAAACACAAAACAGGCTCCGCTTTTTTTAAAGCGGACGCCCCTTTACCACATCAGCAGCACAGTGGGCCGGTCTATTGCGCCACAGACAAAACAAAACACCACACCCAAAGAAAAGCAAAGCAACTACAATCGACTCCTAAGGTGAAATGGCCCTTCAGAACACGAAGAGGTCGTAGTAGACCAGTAGCAGAATTCATGCCATGCTGCAAGAGCATCGGATCGGTTTGCAAAGCGCGAACTATTTGCCAGATCAAAATCACCTTCCACGCTGATCCAGATTGCCTAGACCCTTCTCGCTCTAGCAGTACCAGGTACTGCCAAGCGAATTGGTTGCCTCGGTGTGAGATACGCGATGCCAGTGCCACAACGGACTCTGGTCAGCGCGCCTGGGCGAGGTGTCGGACGCCACCTCGCTCCGAGTGAGTGCCGGGTGCGAGGTGTTGGTACCACAAAGTCTTCGCAGTGTGGCCGACCTCCTGAAACGTCACAACCTTGCTATTGTCCAGATTGAGAGGAAATTCCAGACCGACGCTCTTGCGAACAGCCTGCATCGAAGCCATTCGCATCAGATCCAAGGGGCACATCTGCTGGGGTAGATTGTAGCCGTGGAGGAGAAGAGGTGATTAGCACAAGCGATGTTGCCATGACCAGAACCCTGCAAGCTGGATGCATTGTGCCTCCTCTATTCTGTACCGAAGGATGTCCCTTTTTCCCTGCGATCGTACAACACCTTCTTCGTATCGAGCACGCCTCGAGACAGTAATTTAGTGTGCTTTGCTTGGCAGCCCGCGTTACGCTGTTTCCTTCTACGTTCGATGCGTCAGGAATAGCCTTACCCTGTCGTTCTGTTGTGCCCAGCCATCCATTGGTTTCATGCCGGACAATAGCTCCTGTCCCTGCACCAATCAACTCGGGCGGACAAGCACCACCAGGACAGGCTCCGATAGGGAAAATGGTTTCCCATATTTGTTAACACCAGGGAGAGGCGGGCCTAGCAGCAGTGCACTTCACTTGGGCGGGTCCCGAAATCTTGACTCAGAATGGTCCTGATGTTGCCACGACCATGGTACCCTTTTTCACTGCCACGCTTCGGGGTAATGGATCTTCTGCCTAGCAACGCTCGTCTCGGCATGCTGTGCGTGTCGGAAGATCTCTGACACACATGTCAGTGGCTGCCACTGCGCAACTGGTGCAGTCGGCTCTTGCAGATGCCTTTGAGCGAATCATCATGCCCAGCGGGGTGCCCACTCCGTTGTACTGGCGCAGAAGTAACGCTTGACCGAATTCACCACCCACAATGCCTTCGCAATACCCCCTAGCAAGCGCACAGGCTGGTCAGCATTCAGACTTCGTGTTTGGCTGGGCGTTGCTGGGTCGTTGTGAGCATGAGACGTGGCGGCAGGCTGATCAGTCGACCAGCCGAACACTTCCTGTTGGGGCGTCCCGGGGCGAGCAAGTGAGAGAGGTAAGAACATGGGGATAAGGGCCGTGTGAGCAAGACTTTCTGCCCCTGCTAGTAGGGTATGGCGGATTGCAATCCCGCATCGTAAAAGACCAAAGTCACGCACAAGACGAGCAACTCACTCGTGTTCCAAAGTACCAAGTGCAAGTAACCCTACACAGTCACACAGCTCACAGGCACTCCAAACACTTCTTTCAGCTTTCTCGCACTGAAACACGACTCCGGTCTTGAGCCAAACAACATGCGTTTGCATGTGGGGCTTCCTAGGTCAAACACTGGGCTTTAAACACTCTCCAAAACTGAAGCTGCATAGTCGCAGACAGCTCACACAACTCAAATGCCACTCAAGGTGCTTGCACAGCTCCAGACAGATGCAAAACACTCTAAAACTGTGGCAACGCAGGAAAACAGAGCTGACCTCTACACTACACACTTCCTACTCAAACTGAGAGCCCACAAAACGTTGACTATCTACACCCCCTTTGGGCCGAAGCCTCAGCGCTTAGCGCGTTGGCCGTGGGATGTTTGCCCGCTGGGCCTCGAAAACGCCCCTGTCCAAGCAATACGTGCAAAGGTTCTTAACCGTAGGCCTGTTTCTCAAAGTGTGGCAGTCATCCTTCAAGTGATAGCAATCACCGTATGGCGAGAAGAAGACGTGCCCCGGGAAAACTCCTGCCCTCTTTGCTCTATGCCTGGACGTCGACAAACACCACGCACAACCGACACAGCTCATCCCAAGCAAAAGACTACACACAGCTGTCACTGCCAAAAGCACAATCACTCGCTGCTCCAAGGGTTGCAACACTGTCCAAACTCTCAGACGGTTCTCCACACTAGTTGCCAACAACCCTACACGCTCAACAAGCGACATAGCGGCTCCTCTCTACACAGACAGCGGGTTTGCTTGAGGTAAAACGGCTTTACAAACTGGAAACAATGCGAAGAACGATCTTGCACATAGACTCGGGGTAGTGCTGAGTAGCTCTCAGGTCAAACTTCGCAGAGTGGCGGTGGTCCTTGGTGCACCTAATGACGTTGAGGACCTCAGCAAGCTGGGGTAGGGTACAGACTACTTTCCACTGCTTCCGGATCAACAGATCGTCTCTCCCTCGCATGTTAAGTGCACAAGCTTCAACCATACACTCATAGATAGGGTACTTCTGACCTTCCAGAAAGCTCCGAGTTTGGTTCCACGTCCAGTACTGACACCTCCAAGGCCATTCTATGCTCCAAGCATGTACAAACGGCACCAGGCTCAGCAGCGACTTCCACAATTGTCTATGTGTGTCAAGCAGACTGCTTATGCGCGCACGGTGTGCTTCTCCGCCATTTTGCAGCCACATACGCTGATATGGACAACCACCGGTGCAGGGTGTGCTGCTCCACAGGTACACGCGCACGCCTTGCCGAATCGCTTCGACACACAAGCTCTTCAAGGCTGCAACCGTATCCGCTCTCCTGGCATCGTCCGACTCAGTCACTGTCACTACGTGCACAGAAGGGAACTCGTCGACAGCAACTCGCGAAAACGTGGATAGAAGAGGCGCGCAGAACTCGATCATCAGCCACCTACAGCTACCTTTCTGCCACTTTCCATGCTCAAGCAACGAAGTAACTTCACCACGCGCAACACAAGCCTGCAACGCCGAGGCAAAGGCGGTCGCTCCTTTCTCGAACTTGGGAAGGGTGAACTCGACCAAACCAATGGCCTTCATGTGCTTCATGGTCGTATGGATATCAAGGTTTTTGGTGTGTAGATCCGCAGGATTATGTTCAAACCACCAAGATATTTCCCATTTGCACTTCAGACTGCACAAAGCATGAACGGAGCTCCATGTGCCTGAGCTTCCTGAGCCCATCCATCTTGCTTATGTTTACCGCAGCCTCGGAATCACAAAAGATCTGGGGTTTCAAACTTACAAGGTTGTCGAGGATGTGTCCTATAGCGCATCTTACTCCAAGTGCTTCCTTCGATCCCTCGACCAAAGCGTACAATTCACTCTCGGCGGAAGACAAGGCCACAGCCTGTTGGAGCCTGCTCCAGCTCTTTATGCACGCTCTGCCCAACATGACGCATCCGCCGGATATCGACCGGCGCGAAACGGACCGCTCCGATCCCCAAGACGCATCAACAAACGCACAAAGCCGCAACTCGTCCTTCGACTGTCGGGGAAACAACTGGTAGTAACTGGTAGTACCCGGCGACGGTCTTCAAGTATCTCAGCGTTGCACGCATGGCCTTTTCGTGCACCTGTAACGGGCTTGCCTGTCCGCGCGACAGCATGCTCACCCAGTACGGCATATCGGCCCTTGTTGTTGCCAACCATGCCAACTTCCCAAGAGCTCGCCGGTATCTGCTTGCTGCTTCTGGACTCAGTGGTGCTTGCTCAGTGGGATCGTCAATCGCCTTGTCGAACAGGTCTCGGAGACTGGGTGGAGTGGGTTGCGGCTTTGCGTTCTCCAGCTGCCATCCCAAAATGGATATCGCCTCCCACCTCGGTCCTCACTATGTTTCGCCCTAGGAAGACGATCTTCTTGTCCTTGTCCAACTCCGCAGTCACTTTCAGCTTCAGCTCACCTCGCAGGCGTTCTATCATCTCGTGCATCACCTGATCCGAGCTGCAGGTGATCAGGATATCGTGGACGTAGGCCAGGATGAGTACTTTGTGCTGCTTGTATGTGCCTGCGAAGAGGCATGCCTCCGTTTCACACGGGGTCATGTTGAACATTTTCTTGAGTAGGCGTGACAGATGACGAGTCCAGTGCAATGAGGCCGATCTCAACCCATAAAGGGCTTTCCTCAGTCTCATGAACAGGCGCTCGCCATTCAATCCTCTGCAACCATCTGGTAGCATGATTATAATCTCTTCTCCGATCAACTCCGCGAACAAAAATGCAGTTGATACGTCTAGGCCAAGGATGTTGTTTCCTACGGCTCCAGCGTAGGCCAAGAAGATCTTCAGGGCCTCCGCGCTTGCCGTGGGGGAACTTAACCCAAGTTGTGCCGCGGAGAGGCCTGCGGCAAAGTCTCTTGCCACCACTCTGCAGCGTACCAGACGTTTCTCCTTTCCATCTACTCGCTCGCGTTTGTCTGCCACCACCCAACGTGTAGAGATGACTCTCTTCTTTGGCGGCAGTTCACTCTCGGAGATCAGATCACCAACGGACAGTGATTCCAGAGCTGCCAACTCGCGAAGCATTCCGGCGTATGTCTCCTCTAAGTCAAGCGACACTTCCGTCACGTCGTCTCGTGACCCAGACGGCTTGGAGACTCTCACCTGTCCTCCTCCCAAAGTGACGACTTCTTCGCCACCAGGTGACGTAGCAGCGAACACTGCCTCGCGTTCCCCAACTCGGCTCGCGATTTCCATCATTGCATCCTCAGGGGCATGCTCAAGCGGAGCCATCAAGTCTTCTTCGGCCACCACGTAGTCCTCCAGAGGTCTCTCTTCCGTGTCCTCCGCAGCTTCCCCGGGTTCGTAGTCGGGTTCTGCTTCTGACAGACCTCCTCCGGACACATCTCCGGGCAGCTCCAACTCTGGCACATCCTCACCGGCCAACGCACGCTCAACTAGGTCGCCATGTTCAACAGTATCACGCTCAACCTCACGCTCAACGTCTTCACCAAACTCAATGTCACCAACGCCTGCGCCATCATCATGCTGCGCGGCCTCATCTGTCAACACATATGTTCCAGAATCAAACTGTTCACGCACAAACTTCGCATACCTAGCTCTGCACCTTTCAGTGTGTCGCAGGGTGCTCTCGATCACCCCCTTTGGCAATCTCGCTCGGCATGCTCTGCATTTTGGCGTGGGTCCACACTTCTCAATCCATTCAGGCGTGGGTCCACGTAGGTTGGTGTCTGGCAGTGGGAGGTGCTTGAGTTGATCTACAGGTAGTGCTTCTTCTTGAGGTGGTCGGGGCCTTCCAGGAAGTATCTTCAACACCCCCTTTACTAGAACCATCTCAAATCTCATTGGGACCACCATGTGAAACTTTGGCGATCTCATCACTCTGAGCTGGCCGTCGTTGGTCTGAATGCGCACCCAATGCGACCCTGATCCGACTTCAGGTCCAAGATACGCTCCCTTCACCATTCTTCCGGTCACTCGGTTCCGCAACGATGGTGGCGGCACAGCCAAGACGGTAGCGCCAAACACATACATCGGATGTGGGGTGATGGCCTTCTGTCTAAATGTTTGTTCTGGCGTCAAGCCGCTGCCGTCTTCTAGCGAATACCTATTGTGTGCTGTAGCAACATGGGACAACAGATAGGGCATTGCTGGTCCACACACGCTCAAACCTGCCTTCTCCAACTGTACCAACTGCACATTCGCAAGCTCTCTCACGGTCCTAATGCCTCGTTCTGCAGATGGAGCGTGCCGATCCACTGGCACTTTCTCGATCGATGCCGCGGGAAGCTCCTTTGCGCAGTCCTGCAAGAAAGAAATCAAGGCTGGTTCACCATCTGAACGCAAACTGATTACCACAGGCTCCGACCCAAACATGCCAACAGACCGAAACCACTTGACTGCACTCACACGCATGCTGTCGGTTCCAGGATTCCAAGGTATCACGCCCAAGCAAAAGCACGACACAAGCACAAGCACAACATACCATGCTCCACGCACAAACATCTTGTCTGCCTGCACTTCCCTTCTCGGTGCCTCTGCTGGGTCCCGCTTCCGAGCTGGTTGTAGCGAGCGAGCACGACGGCACTCCTCACAAGACGAGTTGTAGGGAACATGAGAACGCAAGACATGTTCATTCCGTGCATTCTTCCAGTCAAGCTCAGACAACACTTCGGAGTCGCCAGCAAGCCACCAAGCTCCTACTTCTCCTAATGCTTCACGCTCAACTTCACCTAAAGAACCACGCTCAACTCGCTCTCCCTCTCCCTCAACTCCAACAACCAACTCACGCTCAACTCCTGCCAACCCAAGTTCCGCACGCACATGTTTCTGCTTTGACCGCTGCGACTCTGTCACTTGTTCGTTACCACGCTCCAGGAAGACGCAGAAGAACGTGGTGTCTCCGGCTCCTGAGGAGGCATCGGAGCTGTCGTCGTGCCTTTGCTTCCCGGGGCTGGTGTTGGAGGTGCTGGCGGTGCTGGTAAACGTGACGCTCTTCCCCGTTGTTGATCTCCCTGGGTAACGTAGACCGTGCCCGCCTCCAACGGGGGGGGCACCTTCGGTGGCGTCGGCGGTGGTCTTGACGTACTTGTCACCGTCACCCGATCCTTGGTGATCATCACGGCGCTGTTCTCGATCCGGAACTCCTTCTGGTCGACCGCCATGGGCTTCATCAAGTTCGCGATCATGACGGCGTAGTGGTGGTGGTCCAGGTGGTCCCTCAACGTGAGTATGGGGAGGCTCCTCACTTCCTCTCTGCTCAGCGGGATCTCTGTCTGGACGGTCTGGGTATGGTGCGTCGGGGGCTTCGGCATGGCCTTGGTGCGGACCGTCGTTTTGTTCTTGGGCATCGCCTTGGTGCGGATCACCGTCTTTTTCTTGGGCATTGCCTTGGTCTTCGGCCCACTGCTGGCGCTGGCCGCGCTTGCCCCTCCACGATACTTCAGCAGGCGACGCACTCGCACTGCCTCCGCCTTTGAACTTCGGCTGGGGTTCTCGGCCGCCGGGGTGAGCCTGACGCTCATCTGCTCCTCCGTCTTTCCCTCGTCCACTTCCATTGCTTGGGTACTGCTGGCCGCGGGCACCAAAACCACTTCCGTCCTCGGCTTCTTCTTTGTCTCTGGCGTCGGAGATCGGCCTTGGTCTTTCTCGACGGACTGTGGTCTTGACGGGCACTGTGGTCTCGATGGGCACTGCGGTCTCGGTGGGCACTGTGGTCTCGATGGGCACTGCGGTCTCGGTGGGCACTGCTGTCTCGGGGGTCTCCACCGGGAACACCGTGAAGTGGGTCTTCGATCCCACCACTTCCATCGACTCCTCCTCCACCGGCTTCTCCTTTCGATTCTGCCGCACCCTCTTCCTTTCTTCGCGTCCCTCGGAGCTGGAGGACTCGAAGCCTTTCACTCGCCTCTCCATCTCGCAATGACGAAGAAGGATGTTGTGGGGGAAACACTGGGCCTGTTGGCGAACCCTTGCTGCTCGAACACTGCGGGGCAAAACACTGCATTGACGAACTCTGAGATTCTGAGCTCTTATCAACGACAACCCTAACACTCTCAGACAAAAGACAAAGAGCCTGTGCTCCGAATCTCAAGCCAACAGCAATTCTGCTGCCAGTGCGTCCGAAACTGGTACCTACCGTTGCGAACCTTGGCCTCACCGGGTTTAAAATTTACGTTCCACCCTTTCTGTGACAACAATCCAAGACTCAACAGGGAGAACTGTACCGGCGCCAAGAGGGCCACAAACTCTACACATGCTACCTCTTCACGAGTTGCTTTCGAAGGCTCCAAGAAAAACATCGCTCGTACACGAACCTTTCGACGAACTTCTATGGGAGCTCCAGTAGCAGTGACACAGCCTGGGCCTTCTGCACTAAGTTCTTCCACCACTTGAACATGACCGTCTCGCACCAGACTCTCTGCAAGCAAATGCACACTCGCTCCTGACACATGAGGGCATGATGTGTTGCTACTCCTATGCTCTCAACGCCTTCACGCTCAAGCTGACCGACGACATCTGTGGAACTACTGTCCTTGCTCTCCAAGATACTGCAACTTCCAACGCCTTCACGCTCAAGCTGACCGACGACATCTGCGGAACTACTGTTCTTGCTGCTGCTCATGCACGCCATGCTTGCGTCCAACAACTCACGCTCAAGTTCATGCTCACAACATGCGGTTTCTGAGGTTCCATGCGCAAAATCATGTTCGTCAACATCAAAATCACGCTCAACTTCTCCAACACGCACGTCCCGCACAAAACTTTCCCATTCTTGGTCACTCAATTCAAGCGAACACTCCGAATGACCATCTTCCGAGTCGTCAGCGTCCATCGCAAACACGGCCGCCGCAATGACCTGTGGCTCTAGCAAAGCTCCTGCCACATTCGGCTTTGTGCCTCCCTGATTGGAAGGCTTCTGAGGGCAATCTTTCGCATAATGTCCGGTCTGGTGGCAAGTAAAACACTTCCTTGCCTTCTTCAGCTCTTCTTTCTTGGCGTCGTTCTGAGTTGCACTTGCTTTATCACTTTCTTTCCCTTTTCCGTCTTTCTTCGTTCATTTCCTTTCTTTCCATCCTTTCCTCCATCACGCTCATTTGCCTTTCCACCTTTACCCCCTTTTCCGTCCCCTTTCTTGCCTTTCTTTCCGTCTTGCCCTCCCTTTCCGTCTCCCTCGGGGAATTGAAGCGGGTTGGCATGATCTCCCTTTCCCTTTTCAGCAAACGTCAGGATCTTCACTTCACGTTGGAATCGTAAAACTTGATCGCACGCTCAAGCTCTCCCATGGAATCTATCTTTGCATGCAACAGGATGTACCTTATCACTTCGACGTCAAGGCCCTTAAGGACAAATTTTGCTCTTGTCTGCTTCCGACAACGCAAGGTCAGGGAACGACGACACCAGGCGACTATACTTGGCAAGCTCCACCTAGGCATCCAAAGGACGATCTTTGGTGACTTTGGGTGGTTGGTACCTGAGGATCTCTCCTCGCAGTGAGGAGGCTTCAATCCTGGAGCAAACTGACAAGTCCTGATGAGACGCCGCAAAGCCTCGTACCCTGCTGGCGCACCCAACTGCTCACGCTCAACTTGCTTCAGGATATCCAGACCACGTGGGAAATTCGCAAAGGACTGACGCAGGTACAGAAACACTCTCGTACTTCGCACGCTCTCACCTTTGCTCAAGTCCTTGTTCTGGATTTGTTTTTCTTTCGCAATGCATTGCTGGACTTCCGATGGGACGCGGTCATCAAACAAGGCAATCCAAGGCAGGAAAACTTCCAAGTACTCAACCCACGCTTCGATTTCCGAACGCCTGCCTTTCGACATGCGTGAACCATCTAGCATGGGAAGTTTCGGTACGTAACTCTCCGCCTTTGGATTCCTGATGGGCGCTCCATCGTCAACTTCCATCGCATGGTCGGCACTGCTGCTCAAGCTGCTGATGCTCACGTTGGCTCTCTCCCGACTGGTGTTGCCTCCACCGTTGCCTTGGTTCGACAACATCGTCTCCACCAGAGACATCATCTGAGATATCTGCTGCTGTTGCTGCTGCATGTGCTGCTGCTGTTGCTGTACTGTCTGCACCAAAACGTGAGACTCAAGAGCTGCTTGCACTGCTGCAGCGTCGAGTTGCGGTTGCGCTCCTCCCAGACCTGGTGGGGTCGCTAGGGGTGGCTGCAACGGCGTGTGAACTCCCGGCGATGCACTTCCAACGCTTCCCTGTGGCACCACAGGGCTTGCTCCAGCTGTTCCCTGTGCCGACAGGTTCGACATAGGACTGAAAGCAACGTTCCTACCGACCAACGGCAAGACTGGCAACGCACGCGGTCTGTCTGGTCTACTGTAGGGAGGCTCCTGGGACTGTCTTCGACTTCTCCGCACCATTCCATCAGGTCCTTCTTCCCCGATGTTGTAGTACGACGGATGTCCACGCTGGTCCACGCTCAACCATGGTCACAGACTCTCACGCCACGCACTTGCCAACTTTCACTTGTTGCGTATTGGGCTCCTTTTCTCAGCAACGGAGTTTCCACGCTCCGCTACCACGTAAAAGACCAAAGTCACGCACAAGACGAGCAACTCACTCGTGTTCCAAAGTACCAAGTGCAAGTAACCCTACACAGTCACACAGCTCACAGGCACTCCAAACACTTCTTTCAGCCTTCTCGCACTGAAACACGACTCCGGTCTTGAGCCAAACAACATGCGTTTGCATGTGGGGCTTCCTAGGTTTAAACACTCTCCAAAACTGAAGCTGCATCGTCGCAGACAGCTCACACAACTCAAATGCCACTCAAGGTGCTTGCACAGCTCCAAACAGATGCAAAACACTCTAAAACCGTGCAACGCAGGAAAACAGAGCTGACCTCTACACTACACACTTCCAAGAGCCCACAAAACGTTGACTATCTACACGCATCGCGATCCTGCTGGAGCCTGACTTGTTTTATGGCGAACCGCTTTGCTGACGCGTGCCGCTTTAAGCTGCTGCTGCGGGCCAGTTCGTGTCCAGCCCAAAGTGGTGCAGTAGACCTACTCCGAAGGGGGCAGCTGGCGATCTTTGCCTGCGCGGCTTCTTTACGCAGGTACACCGTTGCTGCTTTTCGCCCTGGAGTCTTAGACCAATCTTTGGTGTCAGGCGGCACTGGAATGAAAGCCTTGCCCTAAGGGTGCAAGCTGTCAAAGCCTTCGCCCTCCGCACCACGTTTTGTTGGCGGGATAAATGGAAGAGAAGCAAGACATGTGGTTGCCGCGTTGGAGCGACTTATAGATATGCTAGGCTACCAATTTCCGGCAGTGCAAAGGGTGAGTTTGCTGGTCAGGCCCGCAGACCAAAGGGTAATTTTGCTGGTTAAGACCCGGTTGAGCCTGCGACCAAACTTCCATGAAGGCGCATAAGCGCGTTTTTCCACTGCCAGGAGCTTCCGTAATGAAGACGGAGCGATTTGCTCCGAGTCCATAAGCGCAGGTGCCCACAATTGCAGCCAACTGCCTATTAGTCCTTCAATGGGTGTCGCAAAGGCCGGACAGAAATGCCGGGCTTCTCGAGACTTGCGGGGCTGGGCCCACCCCCTTTGTACGAAGGGGGGCTTGAAGGGGGGCTTGAAGCCCCCCTTGAAGGGGGGCTGAAGGGTCGGACCCTTGAAGGGGGCTTGAAGGGGGGGGGTGAAGGGGGGCGAAGGGGGCTTGAAGGGGGGCTTCAAGGGGGGCTTCAAGGGGGGCTTGAAGGGGGGGGCTTGAAGGGGGGCTTGAAGGGGGGCTTCAAGGGGGGCTTCAAGGGGGGCTTGAAGGGGGGCTTGAAGGGGGGCTTCAAGGGGGGCTTCAAGGGGGGCTTGAAGGGGGGGCTTCAAGGGGGGGCTTCAGGGGGGATTAAAGGAAGCTTCAAAGGGAGGTTTCAAGGGGGGCTTGCAAGGGGGGTTTGAGACGCGGGCGTAAACGTCGCGAAGAAGGCCCAGGTACTAGGCCTCTGAAACCGCCCCCGGAAACCCGTACAGGGAGCAGTTTAAGAGGCCTAATAACTGGGCTTGCTTCGCAGAGGTTTCAGGGAGCAGTTTAACAGGCCTAATAACGGGGCCTTCTTCGCGAGGTTCCAGGGAGCAGTTTAAGAGGCCTAATAACTAAGCCTGCTTCGCAGGGGTTTCAGGGAGCAGTTTAAGAGGCCTAAGCGACGTTTAGGCAGCTGGGCCTTCTGTGGAGGGTTCGGGCAGCAGTTTAAGACGTTCAAGAGGCTTAATACTTGCTGGGCCTTCCGTGCAGCAGTTTAGAAGGCCTAATGCGAGCATCGTGTTTGCAAATGGGGGGGCTGCGCCCCCCCCAACCCCCCCGCTTGTTTCAGCCGGGCAAACTCGCGTGGAAGCATATGTCCAAAACAAAACAAAACAAAACATGGGGTTCTCGGCTTAGCCCCGCGCCACGTCGCTGCTATGCAAATGGGGGGGGGCTGCGCCCCCCCCCAACCCCCCCGCTTTTTTTCTGCCGGGCAAGCTTGCGTGGAAGCATATGAATCATCTCTGAAACAAAACATGGGGTTCTCGGCTTAGCCCCGCGCCACGTCACTGCTATGAACTCTCTGCTCCTAGAAACTCGAGTTTGAACACAAAATACAAGAGAAGAAGCGAGCGGGGTGGAATTGCTCGAAGCTCCCTTTTAAAAGAGTCTCACTTCTCTGGTTTCGAAGAATGAAATCCAAAAAACAAAACAAGATTCGAGGGGGGTGGAATTTAGAATACATTCGCTTATTTCTCTTCGTGAAGGGAAATGAATGTTTAGTTTAGAGTTTCACTTCTCTGGCTTCGAAAAATGAAATCCAAAAACAAGTACAAAAAGAAAACAAGATTCGAGGGGGTGGAATTTCAAATACATTCCCTTCTTTCTCTTCGTAAAGGGAAGAAATGAATGTTTAGAGTCTCACTT